CTACACCCTGCACTTGCTTCTCTTATTAATAAATTTGAATTTGAGTAAATCCAATAGCCCATCCTGTGCATCTTTTTCCTGGTACCAGAATTTATTTTCCCCTCCCAACGCATTCTGAAAGCCTTGCTGCCGAGCTCCTGCTGGCTTTGTAGGTTTTGCCAGACATCGCCATGCGCTTTCAAGTCTATCTTCACAGCGATAAGAGTTCTTAAAGTATATTGGAAGCTGAGACTGTTGAATGCTCGACTAATTGGGCAGCTTTTCCACCCTTTTAGTCAAGAGGCCTGAAGCATCTAGGCAGGGAAGCTGCACAAATGTACAAATGGCCATGGAAGCATCTTGAAAACTGAAGGGTCTCTTCTCTTTCCCTTCCAGTGCTATTTCATGACATAGATGCCATGATTCTAATGATGCCCCCTTTTAAGTCTGGGTGATATATTGATATAGCATCCAAAACCAGTTCAAAGCCCGTATCAGTTTCATTATTTTTGTGGTGGCAATATATCATGAATCATGATGTGCGTGTTTGTGTGCTATGCAAAAATCACAATGTGGGGGAAACCGTGAAGCCAGCCAATGGTTCTCTGGATTCTTGCAACCAATCACAAGAGTAAGGTAAAGGTAAAGGGACCCCTGACCATTAGGTCCAGTTGTGGCTGACTCTGGGGTTGCGGTGCTCATCTCGCTTTATTGGCCGAGGGAGCCGGCGTACAGCTTCCGGGTCATGTGGCCAGCATGACTAAGCCGCTTCTGGCGAACCAGAGCAGCGCACGGAAACACCATTTACCTTCCCGCCGGAGCGGTACCTATTTATCTACTTGCACTTTGACGTGCTTTCGAACTGCTAGGTTGGCAGGAGCAGGGACCGAGCAACGGGAGCTCACCCCGTCGCGGGGATTCGAACCGCCGACCTTCTGATCGGCAAGTCCTAGGCTCTGTGGTTTAACCCACAGCGCCACCCACGTCCCAATCGCAAGAGTAGGCACCAGCAAAAATCACAGTGCATGGAAAAACATGGAGCCAGTGTCTCTCCATAGCTCCAACTTTATTTCAGACATTGTGATACAGCCATATTTCGGAAGTCGAACAGAATCCCTTCCGGAAGCTCATTTGACTTCTGAAACATTCGGAAACCAAAGCACGGCTTCTGATTGGCTGCAGGAAGTTCCTGCAGCCAATCAGAAGCCGCGGAAGCCTTGTTGGACGTTCTGCTTCCAAAAGAATGTTTGAAAACCGGAACACTCCCTTCCGGTTTTCGAACGTTCGGGAGCAGGAACGTTCGACTCCCAAGGCGTTCAGGAGCCGAGGTACGACTGTATATCAGTACAGTGGTACCTCCGGTTACATACGCTTCAGGCTACAGATGCTTCAGGTTACAGACTCCGCTAACCCAGAAATAGTGCTGCGGGTTAAGAACTTTGCTTCAGGATGAGAACAGAAATAGTGCTCTGGTGGCGCGGCAGCAGCAGGAGGCCCCATTAGCTAAAGTGGTGCTTCAGGTTAAGAACAGTTTCAGGTTAAGTGCGGACCTCCGGAATGAATTAAGTACTTAACTCGAGGTACCACTGTAGATTACAATGTTTAGCTTATGATACATCACGATGTTGAAAACCAGTTATCATCCAGCCCTTGCCCCTTGCTCCCATGCATTTTCCTTGCAAAGTAGGGATTTGTATCATTTAAACTGCTTGGGCACATGAGCACGAATAGAGCTTTCTGTATATCCGAGAGCTAAATTCAGGGATTCATTTTTCATAACAATGACTTGAATCCTTGCTCATGAGACCGGAGTACTTTGATGAAGACTGAACGACTTTTAATAATTCACCAGCCAGGCACACAAATTCATAATTCATCAGATGATTAACACCCCTTTGAAGGGCTTACTCTCATTGACTTCCAACATCCACAGGGTTGCAGGTTAGATGCCACAAAGACTTCACACCATGGGCAGGACTCCCACTGATGTGAGTGGACTTAAAGAGATCAGACAACTGGTTTTCAACATTGTGATGCAAGTATTCAAAGTCAATGCAGAAGTCTCCGTGAGTTCAGTGCCTTCATTCTGCGATATTTCATTTTTTTTATACAGTTCACAATGTTCATATAAGTTTAACTCTGAACGGACCTTTATAAAAGCAAACTTTTTTTACCAATGAATTTTTTTATTAGTTTTCCAAATTTTAAACAAATTTACAACAAATTAATTCAAATTTAACATCAATTTAAAAATTGATTTTCCATCCCTCTTCCAAGATGCTTCTTTTTCCTCCCTCCTTTGAGGCTCACAGTAAAATACTTAATTTCTAATACTTTCCCATCCGTTCCTATTTCCATTGACTGTGCGTGTTCAGTTCCTGTTTAGACATTTACCCGACCATTTTTCCAATTAATGAAATAGAATTAATCTTCCGTTATTGATGCATATGAATCATGAATCATAATTTTAAATCGTATTTCCTCCAACACAGCTTTATCATCCTGTCTTTACGCGTTCGCAAAAAAGCAAATGCTTTTATGTTCACTGGCTAGTCCACAAATAGAAGCAAGAAATAAAACGAGTTACTTGAAAAGAACTTGCATGCATCCAAGTTTAAATGCTTGACAAAGCATCAGTTCACATACAGAGAAGCTAGTACACACTTTCCCTCCTTGTATTACTAAAAGTAACGTTGTGACATGACTTCTCCTCGTAAGCAAGTTTTCCTCCCTGTTTTTGTTTTTTTTTAAAAGGGGAAAAGAATTATATTTCAGATTTGAGGAACACAGTCATCTTTATTTCAGTTATCAGACACAGCATTCAGACTGTGCCTGTAAACTGGATCAGTAGACAGTCTGGTATAAAAATTGGTAATGCAATTAAATGTTCAGAGGCAATTTCCAATTCTATCTAGTCACCGTCAGTGCAGATAAGAGGGATGGAATATTATTTATAATACCTGAAATTCAAGCACACCACTGTACTGAGTAGAGGTATCAATATCCATTAGGCACTTTCCAAGGTGAAAAACAACAACAAGATTAGGCAAACATTTCTAGTAATGGAACAGAGAGTGGTTTGGCCAGTGGTTATAATAATCATAATATTTAAAAAAAAAAAAACACCACAGCAAAATAGAAGAAAACCCAAAATGGTATAAGCCAATATTTGTTGGGGAATCCCAGTGTGTTTAAAGCACAAATCGATTCCTCAGGAAAGTAACTTGAACAGTTTTTATAATTTAAAGAAATATGTTTCTCAGACAGACATAATGATGAATGCATATACAATCAATTAAAAAATAATCAAAATCTACCCCAAATTCTATTGTTGCATGATAACAACTAATGCCCATATTACTTCCTCTTTAATATAACTAATAGAACAGATATATTCAAGACAGGAGTGCCTGGCGTGCTCTGGTCCATGGAGTCACAAAGAGTCGGACATGACTAAACAACTAAACAACAACAACATATTCAAACATCTAGGCAACCTTAAAGAAAAGGCTGCTTCTGTCCTTTGTTTTACAAAAAGCTTTTTCTTCCCCATCCCTTCAAATTGCATTTTGTCTCCCAAAATTGACTGTGTTCATTGTAACATGAGCCCACTGTATAAAACAGCGGCCACTTTATGTTCGGCTTAGTATTGATTTTCAAATCAAGGCTAGGCACCGGGATTTGTGTGCTATATACCCAACATGGAGCAAAGACAGGGGCAGGATGGAGCCTAGAAAGGACATGGAATCCTATAGCATCAACCGTGGGAAGGGAGAAGAGTACACTGGGGAATTCACAAAATACTTTTATTGTGAGCCTCCTTAAATCAAGAAGAAAAAACCTCTGTGTCTTCTCAGGTGTAATGGACAAAACAAGGATGTTGGATCGTATATAAGCACAAGGAGAAGGGATAATCCAGGCCCACACAGTATTTGATGAGCTATAAAGGCTCGGCTCTGCAAGGTACAAATGGTTAGCTCTGTCATTATGAAAAGCGACATGACTTCAAATGAGGAAACACATCCACTGTGGGGGAACAGGAGCATGCAGCTACCGATATTGCGCTAATTGGAAAGCAATTCCTGCTACTGGAGCATGCAAGGCGCTCGGAAACTACACTGGGAGACAGAGAGAAACCTGCCTCACGCTTCTAAGGGATCCTGGAATTGGGGCAAGAAAACAAACCCAGAAGCTGTGATATGAGTATATCCCTGGTGTGATCACTTACTGTCACTGGGTGAACTCGTTCCCAGCCTGCGCCCCGTTTTTATCACCTAAGACTTTAGCTTAAACATATCCATTACATAAGCGCTGGATGGGATGGACTTAACTCAGCTGGTATCTACAAAACACTTCAGTATTCCTTGGGTACCAGCTGCCAAATCTAACTTCTCAGCCTATTTGTTACATGAATTGCCTGGCAGGGACCATTATCTGAGCATCTTCAAATGATTAATTACCCAGTAGAGTCTAAATACTAGCATAGCTGAAGTTATCCTTCTTCAGCAAGGTTTGGGGCGGGTGGGCAACTGATGAATATTTGCCCCTGGAACTTGAGTTCTCTAGACTTCACTGTGTTGCCTTTTGTTCTCATTCTCTCCAGGGCCATTGGTGAATGCATAACCCAAAACCTGAGTCGCAAAGGAAATTGCAGTAGAATGACAATGCTCCAGTTCTGCTTCTGTCACACCTTGCAGCCCCACCACTCAAATCCAGTACATTCCACATTCCTTCCAGGCAATTTACTTGTACACTCCCAGTATCCCTATGGCATCAAGGTCATTGAGATTATGTTATTAGGAAAGCTGCAAAACTCCAGACGGCCAGGAGCTGTCCCTGGTGCTGAAACCCAGTGCTGAAAGCACATCCTGGGAATCTTGCTTATTATGCCTACCTGCAGAGCGTGATGGAGCGATACGCCAGGCTTTCTCTTGACCATCAAGAGCTGGCAGGGACGCATGGACTCCAAAGGAATATTCTATCTCCTTGTCTAATTTTTGTTCTTCCGTTCTCCTCCACAGGTGTACACACGCTACGGAAAGTGCTACACATTCAACTCAGGTCAGCCTGACAAGCCACCACGCATCACCAATAAGGGAGGAACGGGGAACGGCTTGGAGATCATGTTGGACATTCAGCAAGATGAGTATCTCCCTGTCTGGGGAGAGACAGGTAAGAGTTACTCCTGGCTTCCCTGACTCTACATTGACTCCTCCCTTATCCATATTTTCCTTTGTGCCACATGACGATTTCTCCTCTTCTGCTGATGCCTCATCTTCTCAGACCTCTGCCTCCCACACCTATCCCTCTTGATGCCTCCTCCCAGAAATACCCCACCCTTTGCTCCAGCTTCCCGTTGATCACTCCACATTCTGCCTCCTTGCCCCGTTCCTCAACCCAGTGGGTCTCTCTCTGCTTCGTTGCTTTTCTAGACCTGCGCCGACTCCTTAAACCCACACCGCACTTTCCCTCCTCCCTTCCTTTCAGTCACTCCCCCCCCATTTGTGTCCTATGTGTCTCACCATGGCAACCAGCTGATCATAGCTAGGGAAGGCGATGCCTCTTATCTACAAATAGCACATTGTTCTTTGTAGGCGGAATATGTTGTCAAGGCTACGGTGAGGCGGGGTGGGAAGTGAAGCCTGAATCCCAGGTCAAAGGTCACCGTGGATCCCATGGGAGGAGCTTTCTAGGTCTCTGGCTGGGCCTTGATTTCAATAAAGCGGGGTGTTCAAGCAGAACCCTGTCTGGGAATCTTTCCCTTTGACTTGGAAGACCTTTTCCCTAGCTAATGAGTGGGTCGGTTCTAGGTGCAGCTAAGAAATGTTCTGGGAAGATTTACTTTTATCTGTATTACTTTATGCATTCCTGGACTCAGCCTTGCTTTTTAAAAAAAATGAAGTGGGGAGGACTGATTTCTGGTTTAAGTCTCCAGATTATTCTGGCTCCGATCACGTAAAGCTAAAAATGTACCATATTTTTCGCTCTATAAAGGACGCACCAGACCATAGGAGGGGAGAACAGGGGAAAAAATTCTCCCCTTCTCTGCTCAGTGCCCCTTCAGCAAAGCGGCAGGAGAAACGGAGCCCCTTCCATTTCTCCTCCCGCTTCACTGAAGGGGCGCTGCGCAGAGAGGGAAAACTGTGCAGCGCCTCTCCAGCGAAGCGAAGCCTGGAGAGCAAGAGGGATCGGTGTGCACCGACCCCTCTCGCTCTCCAGGCGGCTATCCACAAGCCCCCGGGGCATGGGGGGAGCTCTCCCTCTGCGCTTCGGAGGCTTCGCGTTGCTTTCGCTGAAGCCAAGGAGCCTGCATTCGCTCCATAAGACGCACACACATTTCCCCTTAATTTTTGAAGGGGGAAAAGTGCGTCTTATAGAGCGAAAAATACGGTAGTTGGTATTGATTGATGCAGGGGGTGGGCTGTGAATCAGACAGGGGGGTATTTTCCCTCTTTGGTCCCTATGTATCTCCCTATCGATGCAAGGTAAGGGGAAGTGCCTTCGCTTTCTAGCTCTGAGCTTGAGCCCTGCTGTGATCACCTCAGCCCCCTTTTCTACTCTCCATCTCTCTGTTCTGCAGATGAGACCTCATTTGAAGCTGGGATTAAGGTGCAGATCCACAGCCAGGATGAGCCACCCTGCATTGACCAGCTGGGGTTTGGGGTGGCACCTGGATTTCAGACGTTTGTCTCTTGCCAGGAACAACGGGTAAGATGTGAACATTCCCTTCCCTATCAGCCAGCCTCAGATATCTGTACTAGCACATCCTCAAGGTCTAGGCAGCAGAAGAGTAGAATCCCCTCTTCGTTTTCTTGCTGATGACAAAGACAACAGCGGTATTGAATGGATAGTTTGGAGCCAGAAAAACTCCGGAAAGTGAAATCTAGTACAGTCATACCTTGGAAGTCGAACAGAATCTGTTCCAGAAGTCTCTTCGACTTCCAAAATGTTCAGATACCAAAGCACGGCTTCTGATTGGCTGCAGGAAGCCCCGCCGGACGTTCGGCTTCCAAAAATAGCTCGCAAACCGGAAGAGTCACTTCTGGGTTTGCAGCCTTCGGGAGCCAAAACATTCGAGAACTAAGCTGTTTGAAAACCAAGGTACAACTATACTCAATTCATTTATGAATTGCTCCTCATGAGTCAGCCGAAAGCAATTTACAATATAATAAAAATATATAGAGAAGTAGTTACAATTACAAATATAAAAATGCGCTCACACACAAACAGAGAGCTTAGAATAACAATAGCACGTGCACAATGTTAATTCACATCTAATACAGGTACGAAGTAGGAGAAATAGAATCATAGTGTTGAATAGAATTCGAAGTGTTGGTTCTGACCTTTAAAGCCCTAAACGGCCTTGGCCCAGTATACCTGAAGGAGCATCTCCACCCCCATTGCTCAGCCCAGACACTGAGGTCCAGCTCTGAGGATCTTTTGCTGGTTTCCTCACTGCAAGAAGTGAGGTTACAGAGAACCAGGCAGAGGGCCTTCTGAGTAGTGGCGCCCGCCCTGTGGAACACCCTCCCATCAGATGTCAAGGAAATAAACAACTATCTGACTTTTAGAAGACATCTGAAGGCAGCCCTGTTTAGGGAAGTTTCAAATGTTTTATGTTTTGTCGTGATTTTACTAGTCTGCTGAGAGCCTCCTGGAGTGCCTGGGGAAACCCAGCCAGATGGGCAGGGTATATAAAATAAAACATTATTATTATTATTATTATTATTATTAGAATTGCAGAGCTGGAAGGGACCCTAAGGATCATTTGGTCCAACCCCCTGCAATGCAGGAATATGCAGCTTGCCCCATATGGGGATTGAACCTGCAATCTTGGCGTTATCAGCACCACACTCTAACCAACTGAGCTATCAAGCTTGGTCATGCCAAGTACTGGAAGTCCAAAAGGTCTTTGGTGTCAAGGGAGTGCCAGCAAATGGTTGTTGCCAGTAAGCTGGTAGCAATGACTTCTGATTTCTATCCCTTCTCTGCATGGGAACATCCTCAGTATAAGCCTATATATTCATTGCTGTGTTTTATTATTGCCCCTGTGTTGTAAGGAAGCTGCTTTCAGAAGCATTTTTGTTGAGAAATGGGTATATAATTATTCTTTAAAATGCGTAACATAAATAAATAAACCATCCTTTTAACATCAAAGTTTGGGGAGGGCGAAAGGCTCTAAAAGGATAGATTCTAACCACTCTTCCACGGTCAAGTAGTGAATCACAATCATCAGCATGAATAGAGCAGATTTGGTGTGTTATTAATTTCAGCTGGAATATTTAATAACGAAAACTCAGCGGGAGATAATAGAAACTAGGAGGAAATATGTGCTTGAAGACATTGTGGGTGTCTTAGGGGGGGAAATTGTGTGTGTGTGTGTGTGTGTGTGTTTAAAGCAAAACACAGAATGCAAATAGACTTTTTAGGGAATGCAAACACACTTTTTATTGATTTTTTAAAACATCTTTCTGTACCACTTTTCCTGCCCTCTCCAAAGTGTTTGCAGCAATAAGTATTACAATATTACATGACCAAATTCCTTCCAGTCTCCAAAAACCCAATGCAAGGGGAATATCTCACATTAAGGAAGAGGCTAGAGTAGAACCTTTCTCCCTGACACTTGCTTACTTGCAAGTACCGTATTTTTCGCACTATAAGACACACCAGACCACAAGGCGCACCTAGTTTTTGGAGGAGGAAAACAAGAAAAAAATATATTCTGAATCTCAGAAGCCAGAACAGCAAGAGGGATCGCTGCGCAGTGAAAGCAGCAATCCCTCTTGCTGTTCTGGCTTCTGGGATAGCTGCGCAGCCTGCATTCGCTCCATAAGACGCACACACATTTCCCCTTACTTTTTAGGAGGGAATAAGTGAGTCTTATAGAGCAAAAATACAGTAAGTACAATACAGCCAATTGGCATAGCCACTAGAGCAGGGGTCAGCAAGGTTTACCTTGCCTGGGGCGGTTCATTCCAGCGGATCCCTCCGTGGGCCAGAGAGCGCACACCTGCAATTTCTGGCGTCTGCGTCTGCGCAGACGCAATTTCCAGCACCATGGAAGCGAGTCCCCATGCCATGTTGCACCAGTTTAGCGCAGCGCGCGGGGACTTGCCGAGCAGGCAGCTTGGTTCGGGGGCAACTCGTGGGCCAGTTAAATGACCCCCATGGGCCGCTAGTGGCCCATGGGCCTTAGCTTGCCGTCCCCTGGGCTAGAGGGTTCGGCTTGGACTCAGCCACAAAGCCCACCGGGTGACTTTGAGCAGATTGCTACCTCTCAGCCCAACTTAACTTCAGAAGATAGTTGCACAAGATACAGAAATGGGGAGAGATCCATTTATGCTAACCAGAGTTCTTTGGGTGAAGAGCGGGATAAAGATGCCACCTGAATAAATAACATGAAAATGAAATATCTGCCCACTGCTTTTCAGCCTGTCTGAACTAGCATTTCCACTTTCAAAGAGTTTGTGATCATGGGAGAGGATTCAAACATGAGATCTGTATCCTGTGTTACAGTCATAGGAGTGTTGTAACATGTGCCTTTTTGTTCTAGCTTGAATCAGCTCTGGAACAGTGTGATATCTTCTTGTGAGAGCAAGAGTTTTGATAGGCTGTATTTTTTGGCATCTGGCCTTCTGCTGTTCACATGGCCCTTGCATTCAGCCCACACTGGTTTCCTGCCTGTCGACATTGCAGGCGCAATTGTGGAGTCAAGGCAGCAGATGCAGTCCTGTAAGGCAGTCTTACTAGGCAGATATCGTTGGAATACAAGTTCCATCGGTCCCAGCCACTAGGGCAGGCATGGCCAAATTTGGTCCTCCAGATGTTTTGGGACTACAACTCCCATCATCCCTAGATAACAGGACCAAGGATGGTGGGACTTGTAGTCCCAAAACATCTGGAGGGCCACGTTTGGCCATGCCTGCACTAGGACAAATAGACATGGGGAATGGGAACTGTAGTCCATGTTGACCACTCTTCCTCTGTTTGTGAAAGTGGGAGAGGAAGGATGAGGTCTGATGAGGCCCTACTTAAGCACTGTGGCCCAAACACAGCCCTTCTCCTTCTCTAGGAAAGGGTGATGAGATAGTGCCATTCACAGCCCCTCTTCGCCCATTCTCCATGCAGCTCATCTACCTTCCTCCACCTTGGGGTGACTGCAAGTCGGTGACCATGGAATCCGAATTCTACGATACCTACAGCATTGCAGCCTGCCGCATCGACTGTGAGACCCGCTACTTGGTGGAGAACTGCAACTGCCGCATGGTGCACATGCCTGGTAAGATGGAGGGTTGAAGCCAGTGGCAGAGCAAAGAGTGGAGGCCACAACAATTGCACAGACAGAGAGATTGAAAACAAGCCTTTTGGAGGATACTTTGAAAGATCAGGATTCCCCTGCTTACCTACGAGAGAGTATAGTTCCTCGTGAACAGGCACACTGGTCTGGTGGTGCTCTGGCATGCCATGTTGTGGCGATCACACAGGGCCCCCGGACATTTGACGGTCTATTGACCCTGTGCCACCACTGTGATTGCTTTCTTCACTGCCACCACCCCGTTTCTCACGGGGACACACGGAGTCCAGACAATTGTTAACATTAACAAATAATCAAGTTTATTTTTAAATGCAGGAACAAGCTTATGGTTACAGTTAATTTTTCTTGGCAGTTTCTTAATCTTAGTTCCTAACAACTTCAAACTGATTATTCTCAACTTTCTATCTGACTCCACCTAACAATTCCTCTCACTCTCTCACAATACAACTCGACCAACCCACACCTAATCCTCCCTCTTCCTTCTTCAACTCCCAAACCTCAACTGACTTTCAAAACCTCCCACTCTAATTTTTACTCCTCCCCTTGCATTCTAACTGGCCAATCACATCACACACTCATTTAACCCTTTCCTTATGACCCATCCTAGGAGGCAAACACCACACATGTGTACTTGTGAGTTAGCACAGTGGCGTAGCAGGGAGGGCACAGGGGCGGTGGCCCGGGGCGCAAAATTCTTAAGGGTGCCACCCACGCTACACCACTGGTCTGCAGCAGTCCTGAAGGTGCCGCAAAACTGGGAGGGAGGTGGCTCCCTTTCCTGGCCCTGTAATGCACAGAGCAAGCGTTTCCGAGCACAATTCAAAGTGTTGGTGCTGACTTTGAAAGCCCAAAGGGCCTCAGCCCAGTATACCTGAAGGAGCATCTCCACCCCCATTGTTCAGCCCGGACACTGAGGTCCAGTGCTGAGGGTCTTCTGGCAGTTCCCTCCCTGCGAGAAGTGAGGGCATTGCTTCCCGAATTGTTGAATATTTTCAACCCTTTGCAAAATCAAAGTTTTCGGGGCTGCTGAAAACGTTTATGAAAAGCCCCCCCCCTTTTGTTTCAAGCTTAATTATAACTATTATAGCTGTTCCCTAATTGCAGCCACTCCCATTCTGTTTACTGAGTGCATCCTTTAACAGAACCCACCGCTCCCTCAACCAGCCCACCTTGGTCTGTATTCAATCTTTCCTGTTAAGCAGAAATCCTTGTCAAGGGATGCAATTAGAATAATAAATATGAATTAATTATTCCAGTCAGTTGCATCTCCTGGGGAGAAGAGGGCAGGCAGAATAATAGTGCAGATGTATGAGGAGAAAGAGAGGGAAGAGGTTTTTTTTTTTCCCAAAGGCAGGCTGATCCTGTCAAATGGTATTCAGACTTCTGGAGAAGGAGATGGAATCAGGATTTGAGAGGCAGCAGCAGAGACTTATATCCAGCTTTGCTTATGTAATGACTGTTTTGGTTTTGGTTTTGTTTTGTTTTTTAGTTTTGTTGTTGTTGTTGTTTTCCTTTATCAGGTCTCTGTCTTACAAGGTTTTTGAGAACCCTGAATGCAACTAGAGATACTAAGGAAATGTACAGTCATACCTCGGGTTACAGCCGCTTCAGGTTGCGTTTTTTCGGGTTGCGGACCACCAAAACCCGGAAGTACCAGAACAGGTTACTTCTGGGTTTCGGCGGTCACGCATGCGCAGAAGCGCTAAATCACGCTTTGTGCATGCGCAGAAGCACCAAATCGCAACCCGCATGTGCACAGACGCGCAGGCGCAGGTTGTGAACACTGCGGGTTGCGAACGTGCATCCCGCACGGATCACGTTCGCAACCCGAGTGTCCACTGTATCTCTTAGGACTATGTTTTCACTAACTGTACAGTGGTACCTCACAAGACGAAATTAATTCGTTCCGCGAATTTTTTCGTCTAGCGAATTTTTCGTCTTGCGAAGCACAGTTTCCCATAGGAATGCATTGAAAATCAATTAATGTGTTCCTATGGTCAAAAAAAGTCCAAACAAAGCCAAATTTGGTACAACAAGAGTTTATTAAGTGCTCTTTAAAGTCACACATACTGTAAAGAGCATTTCAAAATTCAAACCCAGAAATTTTTTTAAAAAACAGCAGAGTGGCCCCAATGGTCACAGAAAATCATAAAAATGCAGGGGGGGGAACACACAAGCTTCCAGATTCTTGCAAACCCCTCCCCAACTGGTCCCCCAGTCACCCAGCACACAGAAATTCAAATCCAGAATTTTTTTTAAAAAAAACAGCAGAGTGGCCCAATGGTCACAGAAAATCATAAAAATGCAGGAAAAAAAACACAAGCTTCCAGATTCTTGCAAACCCCTCCCCAACTGGTCCCCCAGCCACCCACCACACAGAAATTAAAACCCAGAATTTTTTTCATCTTGCGAAGCAAGCCCATAGGGAAATTCGTCTTGCAAAGCAGCTCGAAAAATGGAAAACCCTTTCGTCTAGCGAGTTTTTCGTCTTGCGAGGCATTCGTCTTGCGGGGCACCACTGTACTGTGTTTCGCTTGCTGCACAGCCCGATTCACACACAGCACTAAGCCAAACCTAGCCAGTCAGAACAAGCGTGATGATCCCCAGAGCAAAAATCATGGCTGCTTTGCTCCTCGGTTCTACTGCCGCCACTGCACAATCCAAGACCAAGCCATGGTTTGGCTTAATATTATGTGCAAACCCAGACTCACGGTTTGTATCACTCCCAAGTCCCAACAAACCATGAGCTGTAACCAAGGTATATTCTTGATTTCCCGCTTGTGGTTTGTTCACATATAGTGCTAAGCCAAACCATGACAAACTCTGGGTAGTGTGGCAGTAACAGGACTATGGGAGGAGTGAAGTGGACTTAATTTTTGCTAAGGTGCCCACACTCTTGGCTTGGCTTAGTGTTGATGTGAGAACAAGGCCACTCTGTGGGCAGGACTTAACAAAACCCGACCCGTTAACTCTCTGGGCAAGGCTTCGGCAGTTTTTACAGATATGATTCCTAGGGAATTCAGCTTTTGAATCTTTCCCCCTAATGGAGAAAATCCCCTCTCCCCATACATAGAAAGCTAGCATGTCAAGGGAAAAGGCTCAGCCCCACCCTTCCTTCTGACTTGCTGTATTCCCATCAGCAGTGAATGATCTCCACACAGGAATTAGGAATGATACAAGCTTCTAACCACAAAAGATTACAGTCATACCTCATGTTACATCCGCTTCATGTTACGTTCTTTCAGGTTACATCCCGCAACGACCCAGAAGTACCGAAAAGGGTTACTTCCGGGTTTCGGTGCTTGCGCATGCGCAGAAGCGCAAAATGACGTCGCGCGCATGCGCAGAAGCAGGGAATCGCAACCCGCACATGTGCAGACACGCCGCTGCAGGTTGCGTTCTTTTCATGTTGCAAACAGGCCTCCAGAACGGATCCGGTTCACAACCAGAGGTCCCACTGTAATGAGGAATACAAGATGTTCCAGCTGAGTCAGAGCTCAGCTTCTTAAGAGGGGGCAGGGAGCTGAAATGTCCTTCCCTCGCTGTGTAGGAGACACTTCTGCATCGAAAAGCCACTAGAGAAAACCATGGAGCTTATCTACCTTGCATGCAAAGGCACACCAAGGTTAATCATCTGGGCAGCTCAACCAGGGAAATGCCAGCTCTAAAAAGATGCAGTCGGCTTCCTTAGCAGCGAAAGTGGACAGAACAAAGGAGAGAGGTGGGAGACGCAGCATCTCTTGGAGTTTAAGGATCGCCTGGTGCAGAGAAGCCACAACCCCTTTATCACAAAACTGCAGCAATTTAAACATGCAGGTTGTCCCCTCCTCTTTCAATTCACCTTTATGGGTAGAATGAGGAGTCCCATTTGCACTCATGCAAAGCAGGGAGGTGTGTGGGCTTTGCAGAACATTGCAAATTCCCCTCCCTGGTTAAATTTCACTGCTTGTGAATGCAGGAGGTCAGAATAGAGTCTCGCCGTGATATATAACTTTGTGGTGTGATTTGCTTGCTTTTCTGTTTCCCTGCAGGTGATGCTCCCTACTGCACCCCTGAGCAATACAAGGAGTGTGCAGACCCCGCTCTTGGTAAGCAGATGGGCGGCATATCAATAATAAAAATATGATGATGGTGTCTATGTGGACATAGACATGGGGTAACAGTGCCCCTGAAGGACCAGGTGCGCAGCCTGGGAGTCATTCTGGACTCACAGCTGTCCATGGAGGCGCAGGTCAATTCTGTGTCCAGGGCAGCTGTCTACCAGCTCCATCTGGTATACAGGCTGAGACCCTACCTGCCCATGGACTGTCTCTCCAGAGTGGTGCATGCTCTGGTTATCTCCCGCTTGGACTACTGCAATGCGCTCTACGTGGGGCTACCTTTGAAGGTGAATTGGAAACTGCAATTAATCCAGAATGCAGCAGCTAGACTGGTGGCTGGGAGTGGCTGCCAAGACCACATAACACCACTCCTGAAAGACCTATGTTGGCTCCCAGTATGTTTCCAAGCACAATTCAAAGTGTTGGTGCTGACCTTTAAAGCCCTAAATGACCTCGGCCCAGTATACCTGAAGGAGCGTCTCCACCCCCATCGTTCAGCCCGGAAACTATGGTCCAGCGCTGAGGGCCTTCTGGTGGTTCCCTCCCAGTGAGAAGTGAAGTTACAGGGAAGAGGGCCTTCTCGGTAGTGGCGCCTGCCCTGTGGAACGCCCTCCCATCAGATGTCAAGGAAGTAAACAACTATCTGACTTTTAGAAGACATCTGAAGGCAGCCCTGTTTTGGGAAGTTTTTAATGTTTGATGTTTTATCATGTTTTTAATATTCTGTTGGGAGCCACCCAGAGTGGTTGGGGAAACCCTGGCAGTTGGGCGAGGAATGAATGAATGAATGAATAATACCTGTCCCTGGTTGGAAGACCCTTAGAGTCACATGGATGGACCCTTTCAGATTCTAAAGGAAGAGCTTAACGCAAGTGCAGTAATCCATATCTCTTTCCCCAAATCACTCTTGTTTCGAACTGACATCTACTTCTCCTTCCCTGCTGCCACAGACTTCTTGGTGGAGAAGGACAACGACTACTGTGTGTGTGAGATGCCTTGCAACGTCACCCGCTATGGCAAGGAGCTCTCCATGGTCAAGATTCCCAGTAAGGCATCAGCCAAGTACCTGGCCAAGAAATACAACAAGAGCGAGCAGTACATTGGGTGAGTGTTGCTGCCTGCCTCACCCTTGGACACCACCGCCTGTCCAGTCTGCTTGCCATCATTTCTGCACCCTGCGCTCGAGCAAGGGAGGTCAAGCCCAAACAGCAAGCTTGGGGCATTGCTGAGTACTTAGGAGATTTGGGGCACAGACCCATGATGCAAATTTCCTGGTTCAAACTTACGTCAACGGGTGCAAATTTGGGTCTCTTCTCCAAAGTTACAAAGGTGGGAATCCCCGAAGCGCTGTGTTTTGCAGCATGCCCAACAGCCCTGAAAGCAAAGTTTTGTTTGCCATGGAGGAATTTTTAAAAAGGCCATTTCAGTCAAGCCACACCTGGCTCCCCAACATGTGTGGCATCAGATGAGGGGCAGGTGAAGATACAGCTCCCTGCCAAAATAAAGGTTTCCAGACAATAACCCTCCAAAGCATGTGTAGGCAAACTAAGGCCCAGGGGCTGGATCTGGCCCAATCACCTTCTATATCCGGCCCGCGAAGGGTCCAGGAATCAGCATGTTTTTACATGAGTAGAATGTGTCCTTTTATTTAAAATGCATCTCTGGGTTATTTGTGGGGCATAGGAATTCGTTCATTTTTTTCCCCTTCAAAATATAGTCCGGGCCCCCACAAGGTCTGAGGGACAGTGGACTGGCCCCCAGCTGAAAAAGTTTGCTGACCCTTGTTCCAAAGCCTCTCTGCCTTAGTCCTTACAGTCTAATTTCAATCTGTGTGGTGTCAAAATGGCCCAGGGGAGTGTTAGGGGGGAATCTAAGGATATGGTCCACCAGCTGGAAAGGGAATCCTATCCTACAAAATATTAGGAGGGTGTCTGTTTCTTGAAGGCTGAGTGCCTTAGGTTGATACCTGCTACATCTCTAAATCTTGGGTCCAGGCAGGTAAGTGCCCATGATGGTGCTAGGCATTATTTATAAGGCTGGTTGAGGGTAGATACTCTGGTCACTGCCAGGCAGATGCTTGTTTTAGAAGCTTGTAATCACTTCGCTTCCTCCCACACAGGGAGAACATCCTGGTACTGGACATTTTCTTTGAAGCTCTGAACTATGAGACCATTGAACAGAAAAAAGCATACGAAGTGGCTGGACTTCTGGGTGAGATTATCTTCTTCTTTTGTGGGTTGGGACAGCAATTGATCCACACCTCCTAATTTCTCTTACTCCTTTGGGGTAACTTTGGTGCCTGTCTATAGTCCTCAAAATGCAGATGTAATCGGAGCTTGCCATTCTACAGTTGTGCGGAAAACAACAACCCAAGTGCAGAATGCCAGAATGGGGGAATCCCAACGTTCCTTTTCCACCTCCAAGTAAATTTACAACGCTTAAGTCTGCTCCATTAATGGAGGCTGGTCCATTAGGGAAACTGGGCACTGCCCCACCAACCTCAGTCTGCCCCCAGACGCCACCACCCCACACACCTGTCTTCTTTCTTACTTACAGACAGCCCAGAGAGTGACCTTGCCTGGGAGCTTCCTCCTCCTAAGTCTTGGTGTCGCCCCCTTATGGAACTCAACAGGGAGCAGGAGGGGACCAAACTAGAATTATTTCATTCAGTCTGTCATGGGCTCAGACTCTGCCTATTGTCTGGGCTTCCCACTTTCCTCCCTACCAGGCTAGTGGGCACCAGCCACCCACATTTAAGGCTGCAAAGATGTTGTTGTTTAGTTGTTTAGTCATTTAGTCGTGTCCGACTCTTCGTGACCCCATGGACCAGAGCACGCCAGGCACTCCTGTCTTCCACTGCCTCCCGCAGTTTGGTCAAACTCATGCTGGTAGCTTCGAGAACACTATCCAGCCATCTCATCCTCTGTCCTCCCCTTCTCCTTGTGCCCTCCATCTTTCCCAACATCAGGGTCTGTTCCAGGGAGTCTTCTCTTCTCATGAGGTGGCCAAAGTATTGGAGCCTCAGCTTCAGGATCTGTCCTTGCAGTGAGCACTCAGGGCTGATTTCCTTCAGAATGGATAGGTTTGATCTTCTTGCAGTCCATGGGACTCTCAAGAGTCTCCTCCAGTACCATAATTCAAAAGCATCAATTCTTCAGCGATCAGCCTTCTTTATGGTCTAGCTCTCAGTGATTGCCTTCATGGATCACTGCCCCTTCATGGATCACTGCCTTGCCATGGCGAAGGGGTTTGAATAACTCAGAGAAGCTATGAGCTATGCCATGCAGGGCCACCCAAGATGGACAGGTCATAGTAGAGAGTTTTGACCAAACGTGATCCACCTGGAGCAGGAACCGGCAAGCCACTCCAGTATCCCTGCCAAGAAAACACCATGGACAAAGACAACAGGAATATAAAAGTTATGACGCTGGAAGATGAGCCCCTCAGGTCGGAAGGCATCCAACATACTACTGAGAAGAGCGGAGGACAAGTACAAGTAGATTCAGAGCTGATCAAGCGGCTGAGCCAAAGCTGAAAGGTCGCTCAGTTGCGGATATGCCTGGAAGCGAAAGGAAAGTCCAGTGCTGTAAAGAAAAATATTGCTTCAAAGATAGGTATTAGCAATCACCTGGTGACATCAGAAATGAGTGGAGAGGGAGGGTGGCAAACTAGGATTGCCAAAGTGTGGTTTGAACAAGACTCGGCCGGTGGATGGAGCCAAGCATGACTTTTGATTTTTTTAGCGGGTGGGGCCTTGCCATTTGGGGAAAAGCAGGAGAGGTTTGGACAAACAGGAGTTTGGAGCACATGTTGGCATGTCAGAGAACAATCCAATGGACCAGGCTGGGGAGTTCAGCAGAAATATTTAAAACAGGCTCATTTGAGAGGAATGGCAGGGGAGATATATCCAAACACCTGATTTAGTCCACAAAGTACCTGATAAATACCAAACCTATGGCAGTCAAGTCAAGCAAAATGTCAGACAATTGGCATCCCTCTCTCCAGACCACAGTACTGCAGCCCGTGTTTCGTTAGCCCCAAAATGGAAAACGAGCCAAGTCCCATCTAAAGAAGAATGGCAATTTAAACTGATGGAATATGTGCTGCTTGTGGACTTAACATATAGAATAAGAGAACAAGAAGAACATACGTTTAAAGAAGATTGGAAAATGTTTCTTGAATATATGGGAAGAAATGTGTATATTTGAAAACATGGGCAGCATTAAGTTAAAATCAACAGTTTTGGTGGATGTAATAATGGAATACTGAATGGTTTAGTTTATTTAAAATATGTGGGGATTTATGTTATGCAAAAGGGACGTGGGTGGCTCTGTGCGTTAAACCACAGAGCCTAGGACTTGCTGATCAGAAGGTCGGCGGTTCGAGCTCCCTGCTCCTGCCAACCTAGCAGTTCGAAAGCCCGCCAAAGTGCAAGTAGATAAATAGGTACCGCTCCAGCGGGAAGGTAAACGGTGTTTCTGTGCGCTGCTCTGGTTCGCCAGAAGCGGCTTAGTCATGCTGACCACATGACCCAGAAGCTGTATGCCAGCTCCCTCGGCCAATAAAGCGAGATGAGCGCCGCAACCCCAGAGTTGGCCACGACTGGACCTAATGGTCAGGGGTTCCTTTACCTTTATGTTGTTCAAAATGAACCATGGAAAGAGAAGGAGGGATGTCATTGATACTTTAAGGTTGTTTAAATGAATATTCTAAAATGTAAAACAGAAAATTTAATAAAAATTATGGGGGGGAGGGGAAATCCTCTCTCCAGACCACATTGGGCTTCTTAAACCACCATGTCCCTGCCAACCTCCCCTGTCAGCATAGATTGGACCAACCAAGTCTGGAGAGCTGAGTGTTCAGATTAGGGATCCAGAGAAATGTGCCCCAATCTCAGGACCTAATTATTGCTCCCCTCTCCTCTTGCCTGCAGGTGACATCGGGGGACAGATGGGGCTGTTCATTGGAGCCAGCCTGTTAACTGTGCTGGAGCTATTTGACTACGCCTACGAAGTGAGTTTGGCTCCCTGGAGCATGATGGGGAATGGGGTACAGATCTGCTTACCATCTAGAGAATCTTTTCAAAGGCACACAAAGCCTTTCCACTGCTAAAACAAGGCCTGGATGGGAGACTCTCCTGGGGACTATATGGGAGGTGCTCTGAGCTCTTAGGGAGGCGGAAAGTGGTCTGAATCTAATGATGCTTTGTGGCAGTAGGAAAAGCCCCTTCCTCACAGTTGCAAATGCATCTTTATTTGGGGTTCTCAGCCGTCTAAGCTAAGGCGGTCTTGCAGGGCTACCTACCCGTTGCAGCCTGAAAACCACATTCCCCCTTGGCCAATCCTCTGGGGACTGTATGCCACCAGTGGGCATGGTCAAAAATAGGTGTGGCCAGCCACGCACTCACACGCATGCTCACACACACACAATTGAGCTGACCCATGCAGATCAGCTAAGGAGAGACGATAGTCAGCTCCTCTCCATACATCAAACAAGGAATCTGATGATCAGGGAGGAAGAGTTTGAGGATTTGATATCCCGCTTTATCACTACCCGAAGGAGTCTCCAAGCGGCTAACATTCTCCTTTCCCTTCCTCCCCCACAACAAACACTCTGTGAGGTGAGTGGGGCTGAGAGACTTCAGAGAAGTGTGACTAGTCCAAGGTCACCCAGCAGCTGCATGTGGAGGAGCGGAGACGCGAACCCGGTTCCCCAGATTACGAGACTACCGCTCTTAACCACTACACCACACTGGTGATTTGCATCTCCACCAGGGCCATAGGCTCTGCTCAATCCCATGCTGTATTTTAATCTTCCCCTGCTGAAATTGGTGGGGTCTTGGGGGGACTAGAAAAATGGGCAGGGCTAAATTGGACCTCTGAATTGAGGGTTAGCTACCGCTGCATTATAGCGTCTCCCAGCACCAAGATGCTGATGGTCCCAGTCTTTGCCTCCTTTACCATTGTGCAGACATGCTCATAGCAGCAAATGGAGCACCCTCACCTTCCCTCCATTTCCCTCTCCGCTGCTCTGAGGCACCAGCCACAGTCTTAAGCGACAAAACGGCATGGCCGTTTTGCAAATGGTTTACATGAAACCGACAGCCTTCCTCCTCCCTTCCATCTCTAGATTATCAAGTTCCGCTTCTTTCGCCGCGGCAAATGCCAGAAGAAACACAAAAGCAACAACAGCGACAAAGGGGTAGCCCTGAGTCTGGATGATGTGAAACGCCACGTGAGTGTCTAAGCTATTTGCCACCTTGCGCCGTGCATTCCCATGTCGCGTGACCCCACCCCGCCCCACCCCGCCCCACCCGCCCCCTCCGTTTACACTAGCAACGTAACTGATTATATCATGCTCATACCACTTTAACTATCCCAATTAACCACAACGAATTTTGGGACTTGCAGTTTGGAGAAGCGCCTGCCACTTCTTTACAAAGGATCCCTTACCAGCACCACACAGACACATAGGGACGCGGGTGGCGCTGTGGGCTATACCACTGAGCCTCTTGGGCTTCCCCATCAGAAGGTCGGCAGTTCAAATCCCCGCGATGGGGTGAGCTCTCATTGCTCTTTCCCAGCTCCTGCCAACCTAGCAGTTCTAAAGCACACCAGTGGAAGCAGATAAATAGGTACCGCTTTGGCGGGAAGGTAAGGGACGCGGGTGGCGCTGTGGGTAAAAGCCTCAGCGCCTAGGGTTTGCCGATCGAAAGGTCGGCGGTTCGAATCCCCGCGGCGGGGTGTGCTCCCGTTGTTCGGTCCCAGCGCCTGCCAACCTAGCAGTTCGAAAGCACCCCCGGGTGCAAGTAGATAAATAGGGACCGCTTACTAGCGGGAAGGTAAACGGCGTTTCCGTGTGTGGCTCTGGCTTGCCAGAGCAGCGATGTCACGCTGGCCACGTGACCCGGAAGTGTCTCTGGACAGCGCTGGCCCCCAGCCTCTTGAGTGAGATGGGCGCACAACCCTAGAGTCTGTCAAGACTGGCCCGTATGGGCAGGGGTACCTTTACCTTTACCTTGGCGGGAAGGTAAACAGCATTTCCGTGTGCTCTGGTTTCTTTCACGGTGTCGCGTTGCACCAGTTTAGTCATGCTGGCCACATGACCCTGAAAGCTGTCTGTGGACAAACGCCGGCTCCCTCGGCCTGAAAGCGAGATGAGCGCCGCAACCCCATAGTCACCTTTGACTGGACTTAACCATCCAGGGGTCCTTTACCTTTACACACATATGCACAAATACAGCTCCCACAATCCCCTGGCAAGAGGGAGTCACTGTTATTTACAACTGTAGGATTAAATAAGCTTTCTCCAGTCTGGTGCCCCCACCATGCTGACTGGTACTGATGGAACTTGTAGCCCCAAACATCTGGAAGACACCAGGATAGGTTAAGAATATAGCAAACTATTGTAATTCTATAGTATAATGCCAAATCACTGTTACATTAGTTTTCAGCATAGAGATCCCCCAAGAGTGGATTCAGAACATGACCAGCAGCCACTTAAAAGCTTATCGCACAATGAAGTAGTCATTCTGTAGCCTCCAGTCTCATGGCACAATGCAACTTAACCATCCCTCGGAAATTTCTGGAACCAAGGAAGTTTTGATACTAAGCATAACTGCTGATTCAAAGGTTACATATGATCGTCATCTCCCTATGCGGGTGCACACACCAAATGTGACCTTTTTTAGTGACCTTTCCCTGGATCCTGATTTTATGAAGTAGGTTAGGCTGAGAGACAGTGACTGGCCCAAGGTCACCCAGTGAGCTTCATGGTTCAGCGGGGATTGGAACCCTGGTCTCCTGGGTCACCGTCCAGCACTCAAACCTGGACGCCGCACTGCTAGAAGGTCCCCAAATCCTGGAACTGCACACGCCACCCCATTCATTATCATGTCATGTTTACGGTGCTAATTGCAATGCCCACTGTGTTCCTCTCTCCTCTCCCCCCGCTGCAAACCCAGAATCCGTGCGAGAGCATCCGAGGCCATCCAGCGGGCATGACGTACGCGGCCAACATCCTACCTCACCATCCGGCCCGGGGAACGTTTGAGGACTTTACTTGCTAACTGACCACTGGATGTACAACTAACACTACCAAAGGGAAGGACCTTCGCTGAGCAGCCCTGGCCCAGCCCACGAACCTGCCAACTGACTCGTCAGGGCCTCTATCTCAAGACTCCCAGGGGGAGGCAAGCTGGATCCGGCCTCTCCTCAACCCATCCGCCCCAGGCCAAGGCAGCGATACGCACACGGAGCAAACTGGACAGAGGGGTGGGGGGCAGGGGGGGTTATCTGTTCTACCAGGTCCACACCAGTTTCTGCTCTTGTCCCTGTGAATGCCCTCGGACTCTTAACTCGACAGAAGAGCTGCCAAGTGGAGGAGAGGATACCGCCTTCTCCAGTCCACATGCGGAGAAGTCTTGACTGCCTATGTGCCCCCCCTTTGGCCTACACGCTGCCCCATGCCTTGTTGGTGTCAGCCACCTTGCGTGAAGGCCCTTTTTTTTCTTTCAACGTCGATGCCAAGAAGAACCTACAGGAGTGCCAGCCAAACTCTTCCCCCGCAGCATTCGGTTTCGTAAGGGTCCCTTGCCGTATCCAAAGGAGGTGCTACATCAATTCCATTCCCTCCCTCCCACCGTCATCTGTATCACCGCCTTGCTGTGTGTTGTGGGAGGCCACAGCTGAGGCTTTCCCTGTAGCAAGACCGCAACTGAACTGTGAGGGCCCACCTGAATATCACCTGCTGTCTCGCCCAACTACCTGATTCCCTTTTGCTCCAGCCTGGTCTGGGTCTCAGCCTTGTTCACCCCCCAAGAGAGGCAGAGGAATGATTGGCAGATGAGCTGTTCCAAAGTTCAAAACATTGGTGTTGCTACGAGCTGCCCTGGGCCCCTTCTGTGCATGTTCTTAGGGGTTACGTGAAAAGTAAGGTTCAGAGAGAAGTCTGCCGTTTCTCAGTAGCGTACAAAACCAGATTGCTTTCAAACGAGCCTCACTTGAGGGTTCTGCAGCTTCTGAAAGGAGAAGGTGCAAGCAGCCTACCCTGCTGAATCTGACCCTCTCCCCTACATTCTACAGAGGCATGGCAACTTATAGCCCAGTCCTACAGGCAGAAGGGACACAGCATCATTTCTTTGGCTGTGCAGATGTGTAAGGGTGACCAGTGCCAGTTCCTGCCTCAGCACCACACTACAAAAGGACAGAAAGGACCTGCCTGTAGGCTAGTGACTGTGATAGCTCCGCTTTGGTGCAACGCAGAAAACCTATTGCCCCTACGGGCATTTGGCAGGCATAACCCATCCTAACATTCAGCCAGGAGTTTGCCAGCAGTGATGGGCTGAGGGACACACCACCATCAAAAACACATAGAAGGTCTCCAGGCAATTGCATGCTAATGGTGTAGAACATTTTTATTTTTTTTAATGTTTGCTCTAACGTATCGTCAGCATAGACAGGAATAAAAATCAGCTCAGGGGAGTGAAGATGACAGTCTGGTAAGTCTTAGCAAGCAAGGCCTCCTGGATTTACCCAGTGCAGGAGATATGCAGAATCCCACCGCCATGTCCTGTTTTGGAACAAGTGTGTTACAACCACCTGATTGTACAACAGGGAGGTCACCAAGATCCTTTGGGAGGGAGCTTTCCCAAGCTGGGAGGGTCAAGTACCATGCAGGGGGGAGGGAAGGATTAGGCAGACTGGTTTGGGCTTCCTTATATACTGATTCAGCTTCCCACGCAACCTGTTCGCAGTGCCCATCATGAGAAGACAAGAGCAGTGGTGAGAAGCTATCATGATGAAGAGGGGATGACCTCTTCACAAAAGGGGCTCCCACCTGCTCCTGATTCCTACTATAGCTCAGTGGCAGATCATCTGCTTGGCATGCAAAAGGCTCCAGGTTTAATCCCTGGCACCCCCAAGTGCTCCTGGGAGAGCCCCTTGCCTGAAACCCTGGAAGAGTCCCTGTCAGTCAGTTTTGACAATCCCATTGAAAGCCACCATCAAAAGCCCAGGTTTGTTATCCAGAGATTGCCCAATCAACTGCTCAGCCAAACAGAGGGATTGACATTGGTGGAGAGGCTTGGCCAGAATTTGGTTTTGCAGAAGGAATCTGGCAAGCTTGTCTGCCCAGCTTTGTCCTGAGAGAAGGTGCATGTGTGAATCACTCCTGGTCTCTTTGGGAGGAGAGAAAGGTCCATAAGAATTTTGCATTGAGCTGTACAGCTCGACAGAGCTGGAAACTAGAGGCCTTAGCAGGCAGGGATGAGGAGAGAGGGGTGACTTGGTCTTCCTCACCCTACCTTTTGAGGGTCGCATTTGTTGATGCCTTCTCCCAACTGGGTTCAACTGGGGTTTGCCCACAAGTCAACGGAGCTGTCCAAGTTATAATGTACACAGCTGGGATCTGAACAGGCTGGAAGAACCAGCCGTCAGAATGCAAATCTGGATTATTCAAGTCCATCTCTGCTGTGTCTGTGAGTGTGCGACAGAGTGGCACTGGATTAGGCCTCTGCTCCTCCTATGCCTTATGACCCAATGGGTGCGAAGGGAAAAGCAGAGGTGGTGGTGGGAAGACAGACGTTCTGCTTATATTATGGGGATTAATGGAAGGGCTGGAGAAGAAACATGACCTGAAGGTGCCCCAGATATCCACCTGCAGCCCCACAAGAGCCATGGGCCCTGATGGCTACTAAAACTGCCTCTAGGACTCTTTTTGCCTGCTTGTTTTGATGCCCTTCAGGGCCAGCTCTCAGATTTTTGGGGAGGGGGGGTGGAGAGGAGATCTGCCGACATGGGTGGTTTTTCATTTTTGGAAGCAACTGGCTGACCTCTCCCAGCCTGGGTCTCCACAGCATCTCGTGCCTGCCTCTTCCCTCAACATTAACCAAGATTCGCTGCATGGGCAGCCTTCCCAGGTCCAAAGTTCTCCTTATCTTTAAGAGCTTTTGCAATAAAATCTCACCGTCGCTTTGGTTTTATTTGCTTTTCCCTTTCGAAAAGGCTTTGTTTTATTTCGATCCTGATTATTCCAGGGCTCGGAGGTCCGGACTTGCTTGTGAAAGGGGCGTTTGTTGTTTGTATTCAGCCTCCCGAATATATCGAGGCCCATATTTCCCAAAGACGCTGCAACTCTGCCATGGCTGGACCTTTCTGGAAAGAAGCAGGGGGTCTCTGCATTGAGGAGGGGGGGTGGAGATATGTTTACCTTTCTTTAGTTTTAATTTGGTTCTTTCTACTTCTCTGCTTGAAAGCTTTTGAAGATAGGGCTCGAGTTTGACCTCTTTCCCCCCCCCTTTTAATTTGACCGTTTTTACTACTTCATGCTCATTTTATATTTCTTATGTATAAAATATACGATATATATTATTATAATATATATATATGTACATATATATATAGATAAATACGTACACACTTCTCTATATGCGCCATCTCAGTGTAGATATATCCATCCAGTAGCATCAAAAGCCTTGATATTGTGCCATTATAATTTCTTTTCCCCCCCCAACTACCGATCTCTGAATGCCTTCAAGTGTATAAAGTGTTGAATTCTCTCTGGTATCTGTACTATGTACACATTTTCATAGGAAGCACAAGAAGATGACAAATGCATTGTATATCAAAAACGGCTCCTCTTTAACAATGATATAAAGGATGATATCAACCATGGAGACTCAGCCTTTTTCTCCTTAGCTTTTTCCCCACCGCAGAAATCCATCACAATTAACATCCTTCTTTTATCTTGCTTAACCGCCGCGGCACCATAGTAACGCAGGGCTGGCAGCCACCAGTCACACGGTGCAGAGGTGGACGCCGGCGCCAGTTCCTTGGGGAAGAACAGCACATCAGGAAGAGTCAGGCAAGGGCTGTAGCTCGGTGGCAGAACATCTGCTTTTCCTGCAGGTACTGGGTTCGAATCCCAGCATCTCCAGATAGGTCTGGGAATAGGGTTGCTCCCTGTCCTGTATAATACTGGATTGTCCCATAGTTCACTATAAAACACAACATCTTGTACTGATACAAGTGCCAGTGCCATAGCTACAGTGGGGCTAGCCAGGTTTTTTGCCCCGGGTGAAGCCTCCAGAGGGGTGCCATTGAGGCTCCCAGCCTGTGTGCGTGTGTACACAAATGGCCAAGGGTGGGTGTGTGGGTGTGTAAAACCGGGTCTTTGACCTGGGTGAAATAAAGCCCCTGGTTTTGTCCTGTATTTTAGGTCTTCTTTCTTTCTTTCTTTCTTTCTTTCTTTCTTTCTTTCTTTCTCTCGCTCTCAAAACAAAATTAAAAAATTCCTTCCAGTAGCATTCCTTCCAGTACAGTGGTACCTCTGGATGCGAACAGGATCCGTTCTGGAGCTCCGTTTGCATCCTGAGTAGAACATAACACACAACTGCGCGTCAAAGATGCAAATTGTGGCCAGAAGCTTCCCAAACAATTTTTTGAAATCCATATTAAATGGAGGCGTATTTTGATATTCATATACAATTAAAGGTCCAGGCTTGGGCCCTGAGAGACTGTGCTTTTAATTCATGCACAGCTATGAACGTTTTGATGAGATTCTACCCATTTTCCCATCTGTAAAATGGGAACAGCAGCCTAACCCCGAAGGGTGGAGTGAGGATGAACCATATAAGAATAACAACTAAAGGATTTGGCATATTAGCTTTCTACAAGGAGGGCACTGAGTTATGTTCCACCCTTCGTGGGCAAGGCTCTGGAAGTCTGGTAATATGGAAAACATGGAGCCAGTGCTTTGTTTTTAAAATGAGACACGTTATTCATCCTCACACCCAACCCCAGATTAGTGGAGGCTTGTTTTGCAAAAGACACTTTGGATGTGCTGAGGCACAGAGCCGATCCTTGGCAATTTAACTGCAAGGGATGCTTAAATTGCCTTCTGCATTTCGCTCATCTCTAATTTCAATGTAAAGCCGAAAGGAGTTTGGATGCCTTCCTTCATGTGTGCATTGATTCCAAAAAGAACTCTCTTCTGTCTTCCGCCACACATTAAAAAGTGACAAATTCCAGATGAAAGCATTGTTGGTACGATTGATGAAAACAGCTTGATTCTGTTCCTACTTACTGAGCCTGGCTTCTCCAGATGACCCATTTATTGATCATTCACCCTGATTTGCTTGCACAAAGCTTACACAATGGTTAGACTATGTCTGGTCTTCACTGAGCATTCATTCTGATTTATGGGGCACTTATATGACAATGACCATTCATCTTGCTTTAGTTGCACGTTCACCAGCGCAGCCCAATGTGTCTCAAGAGGCTTGGAACGGAATGGAACCATTGTGTTGGCTGCGTCCTCCATTCAATGTCCATTGGGGATGAGAGGCCCTGTGGGCACTGAATCCCTTGCAAATCTCACTCCTCTCAGTACAGTGGAACCTCGGGTTACATACGCTTCAGGTTACAGACTCTGCTAACCCAAAAATAATACCTCGGGTTAAGAACTTTGCTTCAGGATGAGAACAGAAATCGTGCTCTGGCAATGCGGAGGCAGCGGGAGGCCCCATTAGCTAAAGTGGTGCTTCAGGTTAAGAACAGTTTCAGGTTAAGAACGGACCTCCGGAACGAATTAAGTACGTAACCAGAGGTACCACTGTATGTGAACTGTGCTATCATCTCAAGAAAGATTCTAAGAATGCCTCCAATCTTAGTCTAGAAAAACAAAGGCTAGCAAGATCTCCCACTTTGCAATCTCTTTCTTTTCATTGTTCTCAGAGAGGTAGTGACCAACAAAAACAGAACTACACATTTATAGTGGGAAACCAGATAGATTTCCTCAAGGTTGCGGGACGGTCACACTCAAATTTCAACATTTCTTGCTGACAAAAAGGGAAATCCTTCACAGCTGGAATTTTCATTGCAGTTTTGAGTGCAGTGGTACCTCGGGTTACATACGCTTCAGGTTACAGACTCCACTAACCCAGAAATAGTACCTCAGGTTAAGAACTTTGCTTCAGGATGAGAACAGAAATCGTGCTCCAGCAGTGCAGTGGCAGCGGGAGGCCCCATTAGCTAAAGTGGTGCTTCAATTTAAGAACAGTTTCAGGTTAAGAAGGGACCTCCGGAACGAATTAAGTACTTAACCCGAGGTCCCACTGTATCTGTGTTCTCTATGCTTGCCTGAGACTCGCAGGCACCTATTGAACAGCGCCTGTTACATCACTCATGGTGAATGACATCACTTCCCCCTCTGTGTCTGCACCTTTTGTGATGCTGTTACAGGAAATGTATGTATTTTAACAAGTTCGTTAGACATTAACTGTTTCCTTGGTGTACCTGTCAGCTGCAAAACTGTTCTTGAAAAAAACACTTTCTAATTACATTTAGGCTACAACCATAAAACCCTAAAACATGGGAGTAAACCCCAATGAATTTAATCAGCTTATTTCTGTGTACTGAGCTGCCTTTGGCTTCCCCTATAAAGTGAAGCATGGTCAAAAGGATTTCAAGTAATGCTATAGCTCATTAACCAGACTGAAGAAATTGGGGGGAGGGAGAGAGAGAATAAAATTCAGACCTGCACAAGTAGGCAGTAAGAAATTAATTGCTCTGAATCACTGACTTTATAGATAAAAGGGAAAATTATTAGTTGAAGATACTGTTAATTGATTAAGTGTACACTGGGGGGTGATTAAGGATTACATTTCTCTGTGAATTACTATTTGTTAGCCACCTTGAGTCTCTTCGGAGGTAGAGGTGGGATTTATCCAATAAATAAATGCAAACACCAAAGAAATAAACATCAAATAAGCCCTTTTCTTTTGCAGCAATAAGCAGCCATTTTGTGAGGGGGGGGAGTAAACCTTTTTTTTTTAAGGCTGTGCAGCTCTTTGATATTTGTTTTAAAGTTACAAACAGGAGTACAGTTAATGTATTTGGCGGGCAGCGGTGTTCGTTGTCTAGAAAGCCCCCAGACAGAAGCCTCTATCATTGCCACATAGCTCTTGAAAGGAAGGAGACCCATGTATTCTGCCCAGACTGTGTTAAGTGAAGTAGATGAGCCAAATGTGCCTTCCTTACATATTTTATATGTTGATTGTGTAACACACCGTTTCCTAAAGAACAGCTAGAGACTGCCTGGCAGTGGCTCTCGCCTTCTGCATTATCTGGTGTCATTAATGACTTTACTTTGTCCTCTGAATCTCCATTTAACGGAGACATGTGGTGCTGGGAATTAATTGTCCTTCTTATGTTAATGCATCATGGAGATGACTAATTCTGGCTGCAGCAGTACACAGGGATAATTAAAGCAGGAGCTGAATAAGGTTGAAGTTGACCTGTGGATATGATGATTGATGATAGTCCATCATCAGGGACTTGAAAATCCTCCTGTTTCTGCTGTTTGTCTCGATTGCAAAAACAGGGAAATTATCAAACACCTGGCAATCCGACGTGAACTGCTCTCAGCTCAGTGCTTCGCAAAATACAGAGGGGGGGGTCAATTCCAGATGACCTGTTTATTGAGCATTCGCCCCAATTTGTTGGCACTAAGTTTGCAGGGTTAGACCATGCCAGCTGTTGTTTTTTACTGAGCATTTGTTCAGATGCGTTTGCAAGGAGGTTGCGTGATGCTACATCAAGTCACTGCCATCCCACACCTTCCTGTACGTTTTCTTCATCGCTTTCCTTGCTGCAAAACGTCCAATTTGTTGCCCAAAAACACCAAATTGCCTTTAATTGTGGAACCTGAATTTGGTGGTACAGTGGTACAAGTTACTGTTGGCAAAATCCTCTCCTCTGCTCAAGGAATAAAGGTGTTCCATTGCACCCGAGGTCCTGCATTTCTGTTTTATTATGAATTAGCATCTGGATCATTTTAAATACAGTGGTACCTCGGGTTACATACACTTCAGGTTACATACGCTTCAGGTTACAGACTCCACTAACCCAGAAATAGTACCTCGGGTTAAGAACTTTGCTTCAGGATGAGAACAGAAATCGTGCTCCGGCGGCGCGGCGGCAGCAGGAGGCCCCATTAGCTAAAGTGGTGCTTCAGGTTAAGAACAATTTCAGGTTAAGAACGGACCTCTGGAATGAATTAAGTGCCGTATTTTTCGCTCTATAAGACGCACCAGACCATAAGACGCACCTAGTTTTTGGAGGAGGAAAACAGCAACAAAAAATATTCTGAATCCCAGAAGCCACAACAGCAAGAGGGATCGCTGCACAGCAAAAGCAGCGATCCCTCTTGCTGTTCTGGCTTCTGGGATAGCTGTGCAGCCTGCATTCGCTCCATAAGACGCACACACATTTCCCCTTACTTTTTAGGAGGGAAAAGGTGAGTCTTAAAGAGCAAAAAATACGGTACTTAACTCAAGGTACCACTGTATCTGACTGAATCTCACCTCAAAATAGCAGCAGTCTGGAAGTGCTCAGTGACCGGAATTGTATGAGTTTCATCTGTGAGCTGACGAGTGTGTGAAAACTCATTATTTGCCTCTAGATATCCTTTCCAACTCCTATGATTCGGGAAGGCTTTTGCCACCTAAATTACTGTGCCACAAACTATTGTCTCATCATGGGTGGGTATGCCTGACCAGCAACCAGTGCAGATTACTGCACAACAAATGGGCTTTCTATATATAAGGAAGTTGTTGCTGGCTTGCCGTTTTGTTTTTTAAAGCTCTTTGACAAGGCATACTCTTGGTCTCCAGCAATACTGGAGGTTTCCCTCTACCATCACACATCTGCAGAGTTAACAGTGTGTATTTTTCAAAGCTGGAAACAAATGGCACTGCTGTAGGCAGTTACCAGCCTAATATGCCCTTTGCGTTTGCTCTCTGTTTGCCTACATTATCAGTGTGGCATAAGAAGCACCCATGCAAAAGTAGCAGCCAAACTGCTAAAGCAGGGCTGGAGAACCTGTGGCCTTCCCAGATGTTGCTGAACTGCAACTCCCACCATCCCTAACCATTGACTATACTGCCTCGGACTTATAGGAGGTCAGCTACATCTGGAAGGCCATCCTGGTCTATGTAGTACAGTGGTACCTCGGGTTACATACGCTTCAGGTTACAGACTCCGCTAACCCAGAAATATTACTTCGGGTTAAGAACTTTGCTTCAGGATGAGAACAGAAATCGTGGTCCGGCAGCACGGCAGCAGCAGGAGCCCCTTTAGCTAAAGTGGTGCTTCAGGTTAAGAACAGTTTCAGGTTAAGTACGGACCTCCGGAACGAATTAAGTACTTAACCTGAGGTACCACTGTACTTTACAATGTATGAAAAGCCAGGCTCCTGCCTTAACGGACTAACCAACTGGAAATCAGCACAAAAACTACATCTCTAGAATAGTATTAGCTACCAATCCACCCAGTGATAGGATTCAGACGGAGGAAGAGGAAGATAAATGGGGAACAGCAGAAAAGGAGAGAAGAATATGTGATTATTTCAATTCTGCATCCCTCAACCTCATTGCACTCTGAGGTTATGCCAAAGGCTGCACAGGAAACCGTTAGCCACCAAATGCACACACAAGCAACAACAAATTAACCAGCCCTAAATTCTTCTGCTCCAGGGCTACAGAGGATTTCTCACAACCAGTGAGCCCTTCTATTCTATAGCTGCATCTTACTACAAAGATGCAATCGTATGGTCCAGAACAGTAACTTTGTCCCAACCCATGACCAACGATACTAACCAAAGTTAGTACAAACTAATTCAGGAAAAGGTTAAGAAACACTGAAGCGAAATGCAACCCAAGAGGCAGGGTACTAGGGCAAGGCAGGAAGCAAAGTTTGAGCAACAGGGCGAGCGGAGCTTGAACAAGGGACAATTTCCAAGTGTCGACATATTGATGGATGGGTGGATAAATTATATTTCTATGATGCTTTTCATTCAAATTGAATCCCTAAGCAGCTTACAGACAATAAATAATAATAATGTGACAGAGCATAAATCATATAGAATAATTAGCAATCAGTGAAACAATGACAATCTATAAAGCACTGAGTATCAAAATTAAAGCAAAAGCCATACACTCTCCACACCCCATGACTCATAATAGAAACTACCGTATAGTTATTGCGAGAGGTGCTTTGTCTCTCGGCTGCTGGGACGTGGCAAATCTGCCAGAAAGAAAGAAGTCGTGCCACAGACAGTGAGAGACAAAGTGGCTGGTGGTCCACACACTATCATTCCAGCATTAGTCTGCCCACGTCTAAACCACAATCCTAGGAAGTGGTCTTCTGCCAAGGTCAGACTCCTGGAGTCCATTTCTCCCTGTAATATCTACACCAGTAGTTCTCAAACATTTTTCTCTGGGCCACACTTTCAGACTAAAAAAAATTGCTCATGCCACACCATTTTTTAAATTGATTATTTATTTATTTAATATTGTATACTCGTAGATCTCGGCAGTTCGCAAACATAAACATTAACTACACAGGAAAACAAAAAGGAACAATTTCCTTGGTGGTGAGAGAGGTTGGGGGTGGCCTAGGGTGAGGTTGTTTGTCTTTGGCTGGCTATTGTGAGATTTTTGTGTGTGTGTGAGTGGGATATGTGTGTGTTTTTGGACCAGATCGATTCGTACGCTGTCAGCCGATTCTCGTCGTCGTCTTGTTGGGCTGTGTATGTGATAAAGGGGAACCATACCGGGGTGAAGGCGTCTTCTTCTATTTGTCCCTGTGCCAGTTTCTTTCTAATAAGGTTGTTTCCCATGCTATTTGATACCATTGGGCCCTGGTCTCTCCAGTGTCTGGCTATGATGCTTCAGGGCTGTTGGAAGTAGGTGGGTTATGAGCTCTTTGTGATGTGAGCGGACATTTGAGAAATATTGGAAGCTACACATTCAGCTACAAACAGACTGGCAGTGCCTAACCCAAGATTTTAGACGAGGATCCCAACCTTGCCGCTCCAGGATCTAGAACCCGTCACCTTCTGCTTGCGAGGCAGGCGCTCTGCCACTGCGCCACGGCCCTGCCGCGGGCACGTCTCCCAGCAGAGCGCTTAAAAGTTCCAGCCTCTGGCAAGCTGACGGAGCCGCCCTCCGAACGGCCCTCACCTCCACCCTCCGCCCCTCTGGCCGGCTGCGGGCTCTATGGCCAATCCGGCGACGCTCTGCCTCCGGCGGGCGGCGCCTCTGTGGTAGCGAGCCCGAGTAAAACCATCCTAACCCCACATCCGCCTCCCTCCCTCCCTCCCCTCCCTGCGCCCCGCCGCTTTGTACTGCTGAGGGAGGGAAGATGGCGGCGCGGGCGGGCTTCCAGGCGGTGGCTCCGAGCGGCGGCGGCGGCGGGGCCGGCCCCGGGGCGGGAGCGCTGGGCCCAGGGGCTGCCGGGCCTCCTGTGCGGATGGGCCCGGCCCCGGGGCAAGGAATGTACCGCTCTCCTCTGCCCGGCGCTGCATACCCGGTACCCGGCCCGGCCCGGCTGAGGGGAAGGCGAAGGGGGCGGGGCCTGGGGGCGGGGCGCCGAGGCGTCCGCGAGAGGGAGGGAGGGAGGGAGGAGGCGGCGACGCTGCAGTGGGCGGGGCTTGGCGGTGGGCGGGGCTGGGAGAGGCTTTCTCTGGGAAGATGGAGGAGAGGAGAGAACGGGAAAAGAGCTGCTGGAAGAGGGGAGGATCCGGGGCATAAGATTTATTGGACCCAAAGGAGAAAGGAAAAATAAAAGCGGGGGGAGAATATGGGGGTGAGGCTTCAAGGGCCGGGAGGAAAGGAGGAGGGAAACCGGGGGTGCTGCGGGTTTAAGGATCAAGCGTTTAGGGCCGAGGGGGAGGGGAAAGGGGTGGTATTTAGGGGAGGGGAGGAAGATCCGGGTTCTCTGGCCTTAAATGGGGGATTTGCAGCCGGTACGTGGAAATGCATTTAAGGGAATCTTCTTGGGGAGGGTTGGATTATGGTATTTTCATTTGCTTTATTTATAAGGTTTTGCATTTTGGGGTTTTTTTTATTGCATAAAAGTGATGCATAAGGAAACGGAGAATTAGAACTGCACCTGTTTTGAAAGCATAGAGAGGTTTAAAGCCGACGGAAATCCGGCTAGCCGATGTAAAGGTGTTTGGTTTTGTTTTGTTTTTCAAATGAATAAATGAAAAATTCCAAAGGGGGAGGTGGGGTGTTCCAGAGATAGCGAGGCTAAAGGCCGGTTTGTGCAAGGAGCAGCAGGCACAAGCGAGAAAGCTTGCTTGGATTGTACCATTTCAGGGGGCAGGTAAGGGTTGCTTGTTTGACTGCCAGGAGAGAAACCCACCCCCCGCCCCATGTCTACACACACATTTAAGCTTAATGCAATAATAGGGAAATGTCTGGATTCTTCTGTGTAAACTGCTAGATGCACTGCACACAAAATAATTCAGATGTTGGAGGCATAGCGAAACTTACAAGTCTCAAGCTGCAGGCTGAAATGGCACAATCCAAGAAAAGCTGAACCGCTTGATTCTGTTGGGACCAACCGTGACAGATGAGATCAAGAAATACCTTTGATGGAACTGAAGGGAAATGCCTTGGGGTGTTTCGCTAAAGGGAAGCAGTGATGTCCTGAGGCTCTTCCGAAGTCATGTTCCTCTGTGTTCTTTATTTTCCCAGCGCCCTGGCATGCTGCCTGGCAGCCGCATGAACCCTCAGGGACCTGCCATGGGACCTCCAGGGTATGGCGGGAGCCCTTCAGTCCGACCAGGGATGGCTCAGTCGGGAATGGACCAGTCTCGCAAAAGGCCAGCCCCTCAGCAGATCCAGCAAGTTCAGCAACAGTCAGTTCAGAACCGTAACCACAAGTAAGAGAACCCGCTTCTTTCAAAAGCCTCGTAGCCATGAAGAGCATAAATGCCATGCTCTTTAAGCTAAAAAACTTCAGCATCTTTGGGCTGATGTTGGCTGTTATTTTAAGTTCCAAAAACGGTTTACTTGAAAAATAGGGAGAGGAGAAGCCTCAGGAAGACAATTTAAACTCTGAAATCACTATTGATATAACTAGGAGGAAAGGAGATGTAACTGCAGACTCGTTGACAGCCATGTATTTATGAGAGCTTCCTGCACTCAACATTCCTTTCCTGTATCCTCAATCTGTGATTCCCACATAAGTCATGGTCAGATATTAGCATGGGATACTGTGTGGGTGCATTGTGGTTTGTGCAGATCAGGTGCACTGTTTTGAGATTCGGAAGAGCCCAGAGCGAGCAAGCCAAGTGGTGTTCTCTGATACTTGCATATACTGGTGCTCTCAATATGATAAGCTTCTTTAGGCTGCAGATGTGAAATAATTTTACCTATATTAAGATCTCCACCGCAGATTGCAGCCGTGTGCATACTTACTAAGGAGCATGTCCCTCTGAACTCAGTGGAACTTACTTCTGAGTAAATATGCCTAGGATCATGCTGTGATTCCTAGACACTGGCGTTCAGCTTCATTTAGAAAGTTTCTTTTTTGAAAAAAATAATATTGATTTTATTGATTTTTCACTGAAAAATCTTTACAAATTTTAACATAAACGGTAAGTTACCTTATCCATTGACCTTTTAGAAATTTTCATTATTAAAAAAAAACCCCAGATGACTTTGATTTCCTTGGCGCTTAACAAAGCTCTAGCATAGTAGGAAGTATCCTTTATGTATTTTGTTTGCATTTTTATTTAAAATTGATCAAATAGTAGATACGATTCAGTAACATATCCAATCTACAAGGTACTGCTTAGCCAGGGGTTCGGACTTACCACCCTAACAATTTTGTTTTTACATAGTGCCAAGAAAAAGAAGATGGCGGATAAGATTCTACCTCAGCGGGTGAGTGAGGCTTCAAGCGCTTTGAGGTCTTGTCACGGTTTCAGGGAGCCAGGCCAGTCCTGACTGATAGTGCTTGTGCTCTGTTCTAGATCCGGGAGCTAGTGCCAGAGTCTCAGGCGTACATGGATTTGTTGGCGTTTGAGAGGAAGCTGGACCAGACCATCATGAGGAAGCGGTTGGATATCCAGGAGGCCTTGAAGCGGCCCATTAAGGTAACAAGAGGAGAGTCCCCATAAGAAACACTGATCTTTCCTACAGCAATAGAAAATAAAGTCAACATGCCCAGTACAGACATAGCAATTATATTGCTGTCTGAGGCACAGTTACAGGCTTCTCTAAATAGGAATGCTCAAGTGTGCATTTTGTGATTAGAAAGAACATCTCGGAAGTCAAACTTTTCTGTTTTCGAATGCCGAAAACCCAGAAGTAAATGCTTCCATTTTCAAACGTGCCTCAGAAGTCAAACGGCTTCCGCTGAGGGTTTTTTCCCCCCTCCATTAAATTTGCAGACCGCCCTTTGTGCCTCGATTTTTGAACGTTTTGGAACTGTCTTCCGGAACAGATTACGTTCAAAAACCGAGGTATAGTCATACCTCATGTTACGTTTGCTTCATGTTACATTTTTTTCAGGTTGCATCCCGCGGTGACCCGGAAGTACCGGAAAGGGTTACTTCTGGGTTTCGCCGCTCGCTCATACGCACAAGCACGAAATCGCGCTTCATGCATGCACACAAGCACCAAGTCGCGCGGCTCACCTGCACAGATATGGCGCTTCAGGTTACGGGCTTTTCATGTTGCGAACGGGCCTCCGGAACGGATCCTGTTCGCAACCAGAGGTACCACTGTACCACTGTATTCACTTCCTGTCTATCGCAAACCACACTTGCTAAGATGGTTAGAGTTGCTTTCAAACCAAAGTCCCATCTACACTTCAAGTGCTGAAATGAATTAAGCCAGGAGACCCTGCAAAGCAAATGGAAGAAGGCTGTGTTTAGTCGCTTCCCCTTCCTGTAGTAGCTTAATCAAAGGTTATGAACTGAGACCTGACTTCTTCTGCAGGTGCTGACTGATACAGAAGAAATCACACTGCTCCCTGATGGCACAGTTTAAGTTAGCTGCTGCTAACTTTTTTGGGGTGTCCAGTTGGTTCCTTGGGTTGAGGAAGTGTTAAATATTACGGTTATCGGTTCTCACTTTCACAACTAATGCGCACTGGGTGCTGCTCCTTTTTAGCAAAAGCGGAAGCTGCGCATCTTTATCTCTAACACCTTCAACCCAGCCAAGTCTGATGCAGAGGATGGAGAAGGCACCGTGGCCTCCTGGGAGCTCCGAGTGGAAGGACGTCTGCTAGAAGATGTGAGTGAGGGCTACAATTGTCATCTCCACTTAGGGCTGCAGAGAGTTTGCAAATGTATCATTGCTGAGTTCCTAATGCCTGGGGTTCTTTAAACTAGACATGGTGGAGAGCCGCTAAACCTAGCCTGTAGCCAGTCCTGAAAGTTGGCTTCTACCGATGCTTGAAATAAGTGTTATGTCACAACCAAAATGCGGGGTTTGCAAGAAGTGGCATGTGACTCATCTCCAGCCTGGAATCACACAATTTCTCATACTTTACATAGCTGCACTGTGAGATAATTCTTTGGTTTGTATTCAGGAACATTGAGTGCTTCTGCTGATTGCAAGCAGCAAAACAGATTGGTTGAACAGATTCAGATTGTATACTATTTGGTTCAACAGTGGAGATCTCTAATTGGCACCTGAGATTTCATTCAGGCCATATTCATAATCTGCCTTAATCTTACAGTTCTTAAGGTCTATCTTTTCGATGGTCAGGTGTATCAATTTCACAGCTTTAAAAACTTAAGAGAACTTCCGGGGTTTTTTAAAGGGGGGGGGAAGACCATGAAGCTAACATAAGCCTAACCCTTGCAAGTGACAACACTTCAATAAGCCCCAAAGAAGACCTTAGATAAAGGATACTACGCTGAGGAGGGGTGGATGCAATACAGTGCTAGAGAGGACATTGCTCTTGGTTCTGTGGAAGGCATTTGACAGGTCACAGAGAGCAACCTTTCATATCTTTACCTGAGAGATGATTCACGGTTCCTGTTAGTTTCTCAGGCTTGACTGCTCTGTGTAATTGGTTGCTGCGATCCGGGATCTGCTGGTCTCATTCTCCCTTTTCCCTCCTCCCCTTTCATCAGTCTGCTCTCTCAAAGTATGATGCTACCAAACAGAAGAGGAAGTTCTCATCCTTCTTTAAGTCTCTGGTGATTGAGCTGGACAAGGACCTCTATGGCCCTGATAATCACCTGGTGGAGGTAAGATGCTTCTGGGGGGGGAGGGTGTTTCAGGACACAGGTGGCGCTGTGGTCTAAACCACCGAGCCTCTTGGGCTTGCTGATTGGAAGGCCGGCAGTTCGAATCCCTGCGACAGGGTGAGCTCCCGTTGCTCTGTCTCAGCTCCTGCCAACCTAGCAGTTCGAAAGCACGCCAGTGCAAGTAGATAAATAGGCACCGCTGTGGTGGAAAGGTAAACAGCTTTTCCATGAGTTCTGGTTTCCATCACAGTGTCTCATTGCGCCGGAAGCAGTTTAGTCATGCTGGCCAGATGACCTGGAAAGCTGTCTGTAGACAAACACCAGCTCCCTCATCCTGAAAGGGAGATGAGCGCCGCACCCCATAGTCGCCTTTGACTGGACTTAACCGTCCGGGCGTTCTTTACCTTTAACCTATATGTTTGTTATATCGGTTAACCCCAATAGCTTCCTAAACCAATATATGTTCTCAACCCGATTATGGCATGTAAGGAATATGGAAGCCACAGTAACAGAGAATCAAGTGCAAAGGTCTGGAGCGGCTTCCAGTACAGCATACTGCTGTTTACGCATTGGCATTTCACTTTGTCGCTGAATACCTGTCTCTTTCTTTCCCTGCCACCTCACCTGTCCTGTTTTTCCCCTCTCTCCCCACCTTTAGTGGCATAGGACTGCTACCACCCAGGAAACTGACGGTTTCCAGGTGAAAAGACCTGGCGATGTGAATGTGCGTTGTACTGTCCTCTTGATGCTGGATTACCAGGTAGGCTAAAGCTCCTTCATGACAGGGCCAGCTGAGATGGGGCCCGAGGGGAGAGGAAATGCCAGGTAGTAGGGAGGGGAGCTGAGAAAAAGTTCACCAATGGCAACCTAGACATCCCTTTGGTTTTATATAGCATATGAGTAGATGAACCTAAAAAGCCCGGGACCCAAATTCTCACAGCTCTCTAATAATAATAATAATAATAATAATAAATTTTATTTATACCCCAGCCAGAGCTGGGCTCAGGGCAGCTAACACCAGTAAAATTACAGTAAAAACATAATGGGAGGGGCAATTTAAAATGCAGCCTCGTTTTAAAAGTAGCCCATAGATCAAAACCATAAGGGGAGGGAAACATAAGGGTCAGACTGAGTCCAAACCAAAAGACAGGCAGAACAGCTCTGTCTTGCAGGCCCTGCGGAAAGATGCCAAGTCCCACAGGGCCCTAGTCTCTTGTGACGGAGCATTCCACCAAGTCGGGGCCAGTACTGAAAAGGCCCTGGCCCTAGTTGAGCAGCTATGGTGGCTCATTTACCAGACGTAATGTATTTAACGTTAACTCTAGATGCGTATACTTGGTTCTGACCAAACCAAGCTTCCTAGACCCATGTACAATCTGAAACCAAAGGGGTGCATTGGTTGCTAGATGTGAAATACATTGGCATTATTTTCAGCTCTTCAGCCCCACTAAGAACGTTTGTGTTCATCAGCCAACAACTGCTCTGTCAACAGTCGCTGTAATGATTTCTACATTTGATCTTTAATGTAATTATCAGAATCGGGTATTTATTGTGTTTCATTTTCCTCTGACTTCTCCTCTAGCTACCCATGTGTATAGATGTACCTGATAACTTCTAAACCGCTCAGAGGTTTTACTACAGCCAAGGGGTATATAAATGTTGTTGAATGAATAAGATAGCATCCCATCCTTCTGATATATTGGCTTCTGGGCCATGGAAGCTTCTGTTATAATTTTTGAGTCTATAAGGTTGCCACAGTTTTCTTAGGCTTTTTTTCTTCTTCCTACGACTGATTTTCACAGCTGCCCCTCTGGAAAGAGTTAGGAGGGATATCAGCAACTGTGGTAAAATTGTAACTAGACCGTCTTTTGGACCTGTCCGTGTTCCCATGGACATTTTTTTAATCACAAAATCGCTTCAATTCTCTTTCCTGACATGGGTTTGTGTAGTAAAAGTGATGATTAAAATAATGAGTGTTTTCTCTCCACCACCCCACCAAAATGGTCACAGGGAATTTTTTTTCTCCCCCTCAGTTGAGGGGTTGTTTGTTTGTTTTTTTACGGTTTTTAGGCAAGGCAAATAAGAGAGTTGTGTTCTTGCCCTTTTGAGACTTTGCTTTTCCTTTGCAGCCTCCTCAGTTCAAACTGGACCCCCGTTTGGCTCGCCTCTTGGGCATCCACACCCAGACCCGCCCAGTGATTATCCAGGCCCTGTGGCAATACATCAAGACTCACAAGCTACAGGACCCTCACGAACGGGAGTACGTCATTTGTGACAAGTACCTCCAGCAGGTAAAAGCTATGAGGCCAGGCAGCGGCTCTTTCTGGGGTATCATAAGAGCTGGGCCCTTCTGAGCTGCTTGGCCTTCCCTTTCGACCTGCAGATATTTGAATCTCAGCGAATGAAGTTCTCGGAGATCCCTCAGCGGTTGCATGCTTTGCTTATGCCTCCAGAACCGATCATCATCAACCATGTCATCAGGTAAGGCGCAAGGGAGGCTTGGCATGGGAATCTGAGCCAGGAAGGCCGCAGGAATGTCGTGGGGGGGGGTGGCATGACATAAGCGAAAACATTTGCAATGACAAAAAACCGACCACGCTGGAACAAACTTTCTACTTTCAGTAGTGATTCTTGCTTCAAGTTGTACTGAGGGGGTCTGTTTTAAGGTACATATCATTTTCACATTTCCGAAACATTCATGCTTTAGAGTAGAAGCAGAAATCAATCTACGGAAAATTGGAAGCTCTGGGCAGACTGGATTTTTGGAAGCAGAGAAATGCTACCTAAAAATGTTCTCTGCCTAAGGTGGTTAATGTAGGGGTGACGTAAGCTGTGGGCCTTCAGATGGTGGTGGTTGTTATTATTAAATTATTATTTCCTGATATTTAATTTTACTGTTTGCTATTATATGCTAAAGGGACGCGGGTGGCGCTGTGGGTAAAACCTCAGCGCCTAGGACTTGCCGATCGTCAGGTCGGCGGTTTGAATCCCCGCGGCGGGGTGCGCTCCCGTTGCTCGGTCCCAGCGCCTGCCAACCTAGCAGTTCGAAAGCACCCCCGGGTGCAAGTAGATAAATAGGGACCGCTTACTAGCGGGAAGGTAAACGGCGTTTCCGTGTGCCGCGCTGGCTCGCCAGATGCAGCTTTGTCAAGCTGGCCACGTGACCCGGAAGTGTCTGCAGACAGCGCTGGCCCCCGGCCTCTTGAGTGAGATGGGCGCACAACCCTAGAGTCTGTCAAGACTGGCCTGTACGGGCAGGGGTACCTTTACTATTATATGCTAATGGATTGTGAAATGTTGCTTTATTTGATATAAGTTGTTTATTTTAAAGTTATTGTGACTTTTTTGTGTTGGGTCAGATTGTTATTATTAATGTTTGATGTTTTATATGTTTTAAAGGTTTTGGAAGCTGCCCAGAGTGGCTGGGCCAACTCAGCCAGATGGGCGGGTATAAATAATAAAATTGTTGTTGTGTGTCCCGCCCCCACCCATCTGACTGGGTTGCCCCAAGCACTCTGAGCGGCTTACAACAAATATAAAAGCGTAATAAAACATCTAACACTGCGAAACTTCCCTATACAGGGCTGCCTTCAGATGTCTTCTAAAAGTGGTGTAGTTCTTTAACTCCTTGACAACTGATGGGAGGGCATTCCACAGGGCTGGGGCCACTAGCATGAAGGCCCTCTGCCTGGTTCCCTGTAACTTCCTGCAGTGAGGTTACTGAACTACAACTTCCATCATGATGGGAATGATGGGAGTTGTAGTTCGACAGTTCCTGAACAAGGCTACTGATTGTCCGTCCCAGCTTGATGATTCATTTCCCCAGTTATCTCTGTTGGTGATTTGGTAGAGTTCTGCTGAACCCACACACCTCTCCCTCTCTCTCTCTCTCTCTCTCTCTCTCTCGTCTTGCTTCTCCAGCGTCGATCCAAATGATCAGAAGAAAACTGCTTGCTATGACATTGATGTGGAAGTGGATGACACTTTGAAAACCCAAATGAATTCTTTCCTGCTCTCCACAGCCAGTCAGCAGGAGATAGCTGCACTGGATAACAAGGTGGGAGCGAGTCTCTGAAAAGTGGTCTTTGCACTGTGCAAAAGACTCTTGCCTTGATCTCTATGATGTCTGAGAAGGGACAGCTCCTCCTGCGTCGTGTCCAGTTGTGAGCTTTTAAAGTTGTTGTTCTGTAGCCGTGTAGATTAAACCTTTGGGGTCATAAAAATCCATTGAAACGGCAAGCATTACGTAACTCTGTTGGGGTGGGGAAATGGGGCAAAAAGAAGAAAAGAACTTTATACAGTGGTACCTTGCAAGACGGAAAACTTGCAAGACGAAAGCGTTTTTGGTTTTTTGAGTTGCTTCGCAAGACGATTTTCCCTATGGGCTTGCTTCGCAAGACGGAAACGTCTTGCAAGTTTGTTTCCTTTTTCTTAAAACCGTTAATACAGTTGCGACTTGACTTCGAGGAGCAACTCATAGCAGCGGTGTGGTAGCCTTTTTTGAGGTTTTTGAAGACTTTGGTATTTTTGAAGCTTTTCCAAAACTTTTCCGACACCATGCTTCGCAAGACGAAAAAATCGCAAGATGAAAAAACTCGCGGAACGAATTAATTTCGTCTTGCGAGGCACCACTGTAATGCTTGGTGATTTAGAGAACGCACCAGCAATTGGCAGTCCTGGTTTCTTCCATGACTGTGTGTTGATGTCATGCATTGGATTGCAACCTTGAGGTTCAAACAGACAGCTTCTCCCCATTGCCTTTAGAGTAAGCCCAGATTTAAGTTGTGCGCATTCAGCTTACGCCTTACGCGCTTGGCAAACAAAAACAAAAAATTTAGAAAGGGGGCGGATGTCCACTGACCATTGCACCCAGTGCCGTTTTGGCTTTAGGCGTGATCCCTGAAATGTAACCCCTGCGTAAGTTGAGGGCTTTGTGTATTTCTGAATACTTTGGTTATATAGGGTAGGGGTGGTAGACCCAGTGTGGTGTGTGGGACCCCAGCCGCCACCCTCCTGCAGATTTTAGGCATGAGAACAGCCTCCTAAGGGAGCTAGTAGGCTTTTTCCAATTTCAATGTAGGGATGATTTGGGGGGGGTCATAGTTTGGGCGAGGGGGAGCTCTAACCTTGCAGGTGCACACACGTACACTGAAAACGGTCCCTCTGCACCACAACAAGGCTTGAAAGCAGTCTTCTATTGAAAGGCTGTTTTTAAGCTTAATTGCTGTGTGTAATTTTTGTGGCGAGAAGGCTTCTCCAGCTGCAAGCGCCTCGAAGAACACAGGCACCGTTCTGGCAGCTTGGCCTGAAAACTGCCAAAATGATTGCTGGCGGGGGAAGAACGAGTGTCTGTGTGCATGAGAGAGTATGATTTGACCAGGCCCATTTTGTCTGGACCCACTGTTTGTTTTTTGGTCCCCGCCACCATTGGCTAATGCAGCCTCCAGAGAGAATTGTGGCCTATGGACCCATAAAAGGTTCCCAGCGTGTGAGCCAGTGTTGTGTAGTGGTTAAGAGCGGTGGACTCGTAATCTGGTGAACCGGGTTCGCTTCCCCGCTCCTCCACATACAGCTGCTGGGTGACCTTGGGCTAGTCACACTCCTTTGAAGTCTCTCAGCCTCACTCAACTCACAGAGTGTTTGTTGTGGGGGAGGAAGGGAAAGGAGATTGTTAGCCGCTTTGAGACTCCTTAAGCGGAGTGAAATGTGGGCTATCAAGTGCAAACTCTTCTTCCTCCCTCTCCCTGCTCTAAGGCCTGTAGATGTGAGCTGCACATTGCACTGGCTCACGTGACTCCCCAAATGCTCTTTCCTGATCAAAAGGGAGCACAGAATACTCTGACCCAGGCCCCCTTCCCTTGTGTATTTTCACTGTATCCCTACAAAAATACATGCCACCTACTCTTATGCAGGTGTGTTGTATCTCAGTGGCAAAACTACCTGTTTTGTCTTGCAAACGGACAGCTTCTTGATGAGCATATGGCCATTCAGCGGCTCAGCCTCTTGCAAAAAGGGTTCGAGGGCAACTGCTGACTGAGAGATGTTGTTTTCCATGATCTCTCAGGTCATCTGCAGCAGCCTTGGAGTCTAACCTGGGTTTTCCCAGCTTCCTGGCCTGCAGTCAGCCTTTCAGAGCCTCTGGGACAGCTGCCCAGTCACCGTCAGTAAAGGATGAAACAAAACAGATTCCTGGCTGGTAGGATTCAGGCTCTGGGGCAACTGCTGAAGGATCCACCACTTTTAACCAGGACAGGGGGTGGGACTTGTAGGGATGGTGCATGTGGAGAGAGCCTTGACACAATTGGGTCAGCTATAAAATATCCCAGCCTACTGCATACTTGCAAGCATATTTACTCAGAATAAGCCCCATTGAGTTTTTAACGGGACTTACTCCCTCCAGTCCAGATGCCATTTCAGTTCTGCCTTTTGACGTTCTGGGGTTTTTCATACAGATTTAAGCTTTCTCTGCTTGGAATTGATGGCTGGGAATTATTTTTTTATTCGCTTAATTAATACAGCTGCTACTAGATCCGTATGAACCCCTTCATAAATTTGATCCCGTTTGCTGAATTGAGAGAGAAGGGGGACCCTGAGTTGGGATTACAGTTGCCTTGTTCTGAAACCATGCAACAAACCAAATGAGTGCACAGATAAAATGGCACAAATTTACAGGAAGGAAGAGGAAAAACTTGCCACAGCAGAGTAGAGGACTCAGACGGTGGCCAAGAAGAGAGGTATAATGTGTGTTCTTGCTTCTGAATATGTTCTGCATTAAAAAAACAATGAGGAGTGAAAATGTGCCCCAGGATACATTGGAAACTGCAGACCTACTTCGTGTGCGTTCTGGTAGCAGGTGGCATTTCAGCACGGTGCTGTTGCATCCCTTTCCCCAACGTTTCCATGCGTCATTTTCTCCCATCTCAGATCCACGAGACCATAGAAACAATCAACCAGCTGAAGACCCAGCGGGAATTCATGCTGAGCTTTGCCAGAGACCCCCAGGGCTTCATCAACGACTGGCTGCAGTCCCAGTGCCGGGACCTGAAGGTGAGAAGCCTCAAAGGAGAGTTCGGACACAGATCACCACCTGACTTTGTTTGGGCCGGCCACACTGCATTTCCAGTTGAAAGGGGTTAAAATTTAGAATCCTTGTTGGGCCTTTCAAGGGAGGGCTTCCGGCTTAGCTCATGCATGAATGGATGCAATAAAAGGAGTCTCCCTCTCCCTTTCCCTATGCTCCTTCCAGGCTATGACTGATGTTGTTGGGAACCCAGAAGAGGAACGCCGAGCTGAGTTTTACTTCCAGCCATGGGCTCAGGAGGCCGTGTGCAGATACTTCTACTCTAAGGTAAACTGGCTCGTCCCCTGCGATCCCTTCCAAACAGTGAGCTGGACAGTCTCCCATATCATGGAGAGTCACCTACTCAGTTTGGGCACGATACTTTAGTCCTGGTGGCCCAGGCACCCCAGGGGCTCATGGCCTTTCAAGGCGCTGCCAGCCATGAGCATATTTAACTTGGAGCCAATCATATTTAAGAGCAACACACAGCAAATGAATAAAGGATAATTTTCCATACTCCTTCAGGTTTATATTTTGTCCTGTGCAGTTCAGAGCCTAACCCAGTCTGTGTATGGAATAATCACCAAAGCGCCCAAAAAAGATGTTTCACATTTCAAATTGTGAGATTTAAAAATTGGAGGTACGGGCATGGCACACAAAAGAACTTAAGAGTTCACATTTTTGTGAAGGGAAGAGCACTGTATACAAACCTGTGGTCCTTGGTTGAAGGGTTGTATGTAAATTTAATAAGTTAAAGAAAGAAGGAGTACCTCTTGAGCCAGGACTATAGCAGGGGTAGCCAACATGGTGACCTCCAGATGGTTTGGACTACAATTCCCATCAGCCCCAGCTGGTGGGCTGCAAGGGCAGGTCTGCTGAGAGTCGTCGTCAAATGGACATTTGGGTCCCCCATCCCTGCTATAAAATGTCGCTGGTGTGGCATCTGCTGCAAGCCCCTCCTGTTTGGAAACATCAGAAACTGGACAACACCCGCTCTTTCTGCATGTGTGCTAAAACTCTGGTTTCGGCTTCTCTCACAGGTTCAGCAGAGACGGCAGGAGCTGGAGCAGGCCCTGGGAATCCGCAACACATAGGCAGGCCTGCCTCTCCCAAGCCAGCAGGTCTTAACGGCTAACCAAACACTGCAGGGATTCACTGCTCAGGCCTATACAATTCCCACTTCAGCACAGAACCTACCGTTCCTCTCCCGGCATCTCTTTCCGCTGCTCCGGTCCCCTCCCTCGGGGGGAGGAGGGGATGGTGTCAGGCCGAAGGTCTTGTATTTCAGCTTGGCCTCCTTCCTCGATTGTTGCCTTTGGAGCCCCAGGGCTCTCCTGTCCTGGCTCTAGCTGAAGCTCTTCCACGCTTGGAACAGCTTCAGTTCAGAGCCTTGCAAGCTCAGGACCTCCTTGCCAGTCCCTAGGAACTCTCCCCCCCCCCCAATTCCACCCCCAAAGCTGTGTCTGCACATCAGCTTTGTACCTGAGCAGATGGGTACAGGCCTGGGCCTGTTCGGCTTCTTGTAGGGCGAGAGGAGAGGAGCAGGAGGGTGTCACTGCAGCAAATTCCATATGCCTTTCAGGGGCTGAGGGATGTTGTGCAAATTCATCTATTCTGAAACAGCCGGAGCTCCCTCTGGCTTTTTCCCTGGGAGCTGCGACGCAGCAAAGTTGGCAAGGAGTCTGCAGGGTCACAACACATGTATCTGTCTTAACTTCATGTTGGTGTTTTGCTTTTTGCTTTCGAATGGGATAGCTGGCGGAGATGCCCAGATACAGTCTTGGGCCTAGGCCTGTTCCACAGTGGTCTTCCCAAATCATTGCCCCACCCCCCAAGCGGGGGAGGAGGGGCATCTCCATCTCGCCCCAACCTCCATCTGAATTCCTAAACGCTGCTTCTTCCCCCCACCCCACAACTCTCTAGATCCACAGAACTTGGTGGAAGGGCACATTCCCATGTAACGGTTGCTTTCCTAATGTCTTCCTCACCTAATATGGCACAGAGCAGGTTTCTGGAGCGAATTAACAGGGTGCGGAACTGACGGAGCAGGGAGAGATGGCAGGCAGGTGTTCATGACCTGGGAGGAATTTTTGGCAAAAGCAGCCACTCACTTCTGACATGTGGTTGTTTGGGGCTGGAAGGTTGGTCCCAGGCACCTGCTGTAGGTTTTTTTGGGGGGGGGGAATGGAGCTGCATCTTTCTGCAGACTGGTTTTTGGGACTGTAATGCAGCTGGACAGGTCCCAGCTGCTTGTACTCTTATGACACTAGCTGCAAAAAAAAAAAAAAATCAAGTTACTGACAAGCCCCTCTTCCTCATCCACCTCCTGGAATGAGGCCAGGGGCAGCTTTGAATTCAGGAGTCCGGGTGGCCCTATTCCCTTGTGTATGCGTCCACGTTCAGAGAGTGAGAGGCTCTATCCTTCTTGTCTCGTCTTTGCCATATGAAAGACCACCTCGCCCTTTTTACCTACCTCCCCGTCCACCACCAAACCCCGCTTTGTGGTACCAGGGATTAGAACCCCGGTGCCTTAACGTAGCTGCCGCAGGCTCTCAGGGCAAGTATAGATGAAGGAAGCTCAGAGACTGACTGGCTCGGCAAAGTGTAGCTGCTTTTAACTGCTCCCTATTATGCTTTTGTGTTTTGTGGCTCTCTCTTTCTTCTCTCCCTTCTCCCTCCCCGTGGACCAAATCTTTTTTCTTTTTTTTTTGTACTGTATCCTTTTAGATGTCACCTTCTTCTAATAAAAACTGCCTCTAAATGATGGGTGCTCTGCATCCTTTTTGTGCTGCACTGCCAACTTTTTTTGCATGCCAGGCGGAGAGGTTGCGTTTCCGTTTTCCTCCCCGTTTCAGAAAAAAATCCTAAAGTGTTTGCTGTGGTTGTTTGGAACACTTAACGGCTCGAACGAGGTAAACCCCCCTTTTTATTGGTTGCCTTGGAGAAGAAAAATTGCCTGGCAACGGAGGAAAAACCTTCAGGCTGCTGAGTGCATGCTTCAGCTTTCATAAAAACACTGGATTTTGTGTGTGTGTGTGTGTGTGTGTGTGTGTGTGTGTGTGTGTGTGTTACGTACACACACATGGAGAAAGCAGCCTTGGGAGAGGAATGGGGAACCTTCAGTCATTTTGGGACAATTCCCATTCTCTCTGGCCATTCACTGCTGTGGCTGGTGAGAATTGGAGCCCAGTGTCTCATTTGGAAAGACCACAGGCTCCCCATCCCTGCCCTAGTAGAAGTCAGGCAATGCGTTTGCGCTTAGTTGTGCAGCGCTTACATCTTTTCCCAAAGCACTTAACCATTTCGAGTTAAATCTCCTGAGAACTTTTCCATTATGTACAGGCTGGGTCGGATGATCTCATGCAATTTCAGAATAACGATATTAATGTATTGCACCATTAATGTCCGCTGCTTTTTACTGAGTAAGCTAAAGCTGGACAAAAGAAAGCAACGGACAGAAGGCAAGATTCAGATGAGGGTAAGCGGGAAGATAAAAGTCAGTTCACCAACCAGATCAGTCATTTTGTATGGCAACAAAAATATTTCTTTCTGATTGAGAAAGGTCTCTAGATCAACCAAAATTAAAGGCCTGCCATTTTGGGATGCAGTGGTTGATTTCAAGCGCCATGAACTTAGAAAAATGCATATGATTGGACTGCCACACATCTGAAAACATCACATTTTTGTTGCCATTTCATTGTGAGTTATTTACAACATAGCATTCGACCCTGCCTTTTACTGGGTGTTAGACAACATTTCATCAAAAATACAATGCAGCAAGTAAAACATTAAAACCACAATAGAAATGTTTGAAGGTAGGGGAAAGTAGTTTGTGCTGTATCGAGGAGCAGACGTAGTCTGTTAAAATCATTACATCTTTATAATGAAGTGAGATACTGTACTTCTATGTTCTTAAAAGTAAGCCTACGTCTTGTAACAGCTGTGCATAGGTAACGGAAGCAGGTGTAGAGTGGCCTTTACTAGTTTAGGCTTTCCTGAGTGAGGAAACTTCATTTTGGGGTGTTCCCTGTGTTTAAAAAAAAGATCCTGCAGAAAGAAAATGAGTACCTCAAGCACAAAGCGGAATTCAGATGTTTTATGGTATGCTAGTTTTTCTGGATATAGGAAACACACTCTGAAGCAGCAGAGCATTAAAAAAATGTTGGCCCCTACTTATATTGCCTGAAGCAGTATAGTTCATTCTTCCATCTCCTGTTGCATGTGAAGGCCCAGCCTAGATTCTTCACAGGGAGGAGGAGGAATCGAGGGGTGGAATGAGCAAGTCATGCCATGCCAAAGCCTGAAGGAAGAGAAATACAAACCTGGCAGTGGTTGAAACAGAAGACATCAGTGTGTTGCCTAGAAAGTCTTAACAGTCAACTGTTGCTGATTTAAGGACAATCTAGGAAAGGTATTGGGTTTACAACAGAAGCTCCTAATTTATTTATTTTGGGGGGGGTCCCTCTGCCAGAACAGAATCTGCCTCCTCTCAGCTGTGATAGGTTGCTTGCTAAGTTTGTAAAATGCGCCTTATCCCATTTTTAGACACTAAGCAGGCTTATCAGGTTTATATTTTATTTAACAAATTTTGTCTATTGCTCTATGCGGCTTGTACGCAGCTCACAAATAGATATTAAAATTACCAATAAAAGCAGTTAATCAAAACATTTAACGATAATTAGAGTTAAGAAAGGGTTAAAACACACCAGCATCTACATGTCTGGATAGGCTTGCCTCAACACAAATGTTTTAAGCGGGTTCCAAAAAGAATACATTGAAGGTGCCCGTCTGATGTTGATGGGCAGGAAGTTCCAAATCATAGGCATTGCCACATTAAATTATCAGTTTCTTGACTGGCAGAATGCGTGTTAGGTGGCACCAGTAATAGCGACAGTTCAACAGAGCAAAGTGGGCATATACGAAGGCAACCCTGCAGGTAAACTGGTCCCAAGTCGTTAAGGGCTCTGTATACTCATAGTTGAGTTTGGCCTGGTAACAGATCAGCAACCAGGGCAGATCTCCAAGCAGGGATGTTCTATACTGACAGGGTCTCCACTCTTGCCAGCAGCTGTGCTCTAGCGTTCTGTACTAGCCAGTTTCTGGGCCAATGCAAGGGAAAGCCCACATAGGTGCATTGCAGTAATCCAATCTTTTAAGTCACCAGTGCCTGAGCGCCTCTGATCGAGTTCTCCCAGTCCAAGTTAGGTTAGGCTGAAGGTTAAGATACTGGCTCAAGGTTGCCAAAAGATAGGCTACCTATCCAGCTTATTGCCAAAGGAGACTCACAAGGACTTCGGGAAGTTATGAATGGAGCAGCAATGACCCTAGGGCACCAAACACCAATGATGTTTAGCGTACACTTCTTCCAAAAGTGCATATATTTCAAATGTGTTCTAATGTTTTGGCTCGCAGTCGCTGGTTTACTTGGAACTCCAAAATGAGTTTTTACGACTAGTGATATTTCCTTGCAAGATGTCCTCCTGTGATTTATTTTCAACCTGCATTTTCGTTAAGCAGATTGAGATCTCTAACATCTCCCATAAAGCACCAGAGAGTTCCTGCTGCTTCCGCCCACGTGTGTTCTCTCTTCTTCTAAAGCCTGGGCACCACTCACTTTCCTCTTGGCGGAGTAGATTGCTTGTTTATGACTCGCATCAGTACCGCAGACAGATTCGGTGGCTTTTAAAATGTGGCTGGCTTGCTTTCTTCGTCAGAAAGAACTCCATAGGCAATGTCTGGTGTGATATATTGCAGTTGGCAAGCAGCTACAACCATAGGGTTGAAGGACCTTTGAGTGTGGGTTCCCCATCTGTAAGAGGGAAATCACATTACTGACCTACCTTAAATGATGGTTAGGAAGCTGAATTGCTTGATACGCAAAGCCTCAATTCATTGACAAACATCCATTTCTTCTGTGCAATTCACCTAAGCCAAATAACATTCTTTTTAATCCTCCCTCTCTGACCTTCGATTGTGGAGAATTGAGGGCATAGCATTTCAATAACATCCCAATCTCGAGATGTTTGCATCCTTGCCTTATACCCAAATTGCCCGAAGCCCTTATTTAAAGAGGTGAATCACGAACTGAAGTTTGCTATGGTTTATCAGTCTTCATATCAGTCTTCTCCAGCCTGAAATTGAACTACAATTTCCACCATCCCTGTCCATTGGCCATTCTGGGTCAAAGCTAATGCAAGTTGGAATTCGGGAACGCATACAAGTCAATAGCTGGAGATGGCAACTTTAGATCGTGTTGTTGCTTTAGGAGCAATTTATCATGCATGGAAAGCAATTTAAAAGTACCAGCCCCTTCCCTGATGAAGCCAGTAAAATGAGAAGCCAAGGTTTTAATTGCTTTAACAGTTGTGCCCGATGATATTGTAGCCCTTTCCCAGTTACGCAGAATATTACTCCTCAAAAATAAATCTTGGTGCAATCCTGCGTATTGAGAACAGAAGATCTGGACCCGAGCCTTGGCTCAGATTCAGACCTGATCTTCAGTACATGCTGGCTAAAATGTGGACAGCAATGCCCTTTCTCAATTACCCTACTGCCTGGAGCTGGAATGATCTGGCCGAGGTCATATGGATTTCATTGGATGGTTTCTGGAACTGTAAAATAAGCCCGTGTCTTGAATCTGTAAGTTCAAAAGATCAGCAATGGAAGCTAATGTGGCTTGGATCCTGCACACCATAACTTCCAAGGTACAAAAGAGAGTGCCTTATGTTTTCTTGCCTTGTCAGAGTAGGTTTTTTCCCCTTCATACAACTCTGTGCTCCAAATGACAGCTTCTTAGCATAAGCTCTTGCTTGCTAATCACACCATAGGCTCCCATGAGTAAGAGGGAGATGCCCTGTGCCCCACTAACTTTTCTATCGAGGGAGATCGAGCAAAGCCCTTTGCTCTTGTCTTACCACCCTGAACTTTGCTATTTGAGCCCGTGATAGGCTTTGTCAGCAACTGATTGCAGCAATAACGCTGAGGATTTGCACAAGAGCATCTAGCAGTCGGGACAGTTGCTCTGTGTTCAGACTCCGCCAGTTACATGGAATAAGTGGGGGGGGCAGTTATTATGGGGAAACGCTTAAATCCTGCAATCTGCAAATTGAATATTTAAGCAAGCACTAGCTGTAGCTCAGTTTGTTGAATTAGATTCAATGGGACTTCCAGGTCACTGTGCAAAGGATCGCAGCCTGGTGGCAAAATCCTATATATGTTCACTTAAGAGAACAAGTAACTCCCACTGTTTTCAGTGGAATATATATACTAGATAGGGACACAGGTGGCGCTGTGGGTTAAAGCCTCAGCGCCTAGGACTTGCCGATCGAAAGGTCGGCGGTTCGAATCCCCGCGGCAGGGTGCGCTCCCGTTGCTCAGTCCCAGCGCCTGCCAACCTAGCAGTTCGAAAGCACCCCCGGGGGCAAGTAGATAAATAGGGACCGCTTACTAGCGGGAAGGTAAACGGCGTTTCCGTGTGCGGCTCTGTCTTGCCAGAGCAGCGATGTCACGCTGGCCACGTGACCCGGAAGTGTCTCCGGACAGCGCTGGCTCCCGGCCTATAGAGTGAGATGAGCGCACAACCCTAGAGTCTGGCAAGACTGGCCCGTACGGGCAGGGGTACCTTTACCTTTTTATATACTAGATGCACAGCTTAGAGACAGCTGTGATCAAGCGGCAGACAAGTTATAGAAATAAATACCGTATTTTTCCGTGTATAAGACTAGGGTTTTTTCCTTTAAAAATAATGTCAAAAATTAGGGGGCGTCATACTCTGGGCTATCTCCCCCCATTTTCTTAAATCTGAGTCCCCATAAATAGGGGGTGTCTTATACATGGGGGCGTCTTATAGATGGAAAAATACGGTAATTCCTCAGCAAGGCTAGAATCCTATCAACCACTTATCTCTGAGTAAGTCCCACTGGATTCGGTGGGCTTACTTCTGAGTAGACATGGTTAGGGTGGCACTGCGTGTTTGGAATGGCATTTTTTACCATGCAATCCTACACTTGTACTCGGAAGCAAGCTCAGGACCGCAGAGATCCTAAACCTGTGTGACTTTCTTCAAGCCTTGGCTTTGTTCCTTTCCTACGCTTGTCAAACTAATGAAAGCGTCCGCTTATTGATTCAACCCCCTAATTTCCAAGGTCGTTCATTCACACGAGCAGCACGGGGAGAAAGCTACCCGTCCAAAACTGCCTGGCGGATTTCAAGGCAGAAACGCGCACCTGCGGAGCCAGCTCAGGTGCGCAGAGAGTGTCCGGGTCAGGCAGGGCCTCTCGTCTCTGCCCCCCCCCCGAGCCGCCATAGGGCCTGGCCTCCTCCGTCTCTTCCCCGCCACCCCGTCGAGGGCCCTCCCTGCTCGGATCCGCTCCGGCGAGGAAAGGGTGCGCCCGGGACGCGAGGCGGGGCCGCGCGGCGGAGTTTATAATGCCTCTCCGACGGCGCGGCAGCGAGTGGGAGCGAGCGAGCAGCCTGCTGACAGTCCGCCGCGATGGGAGGCAAGAAAGTTTGCATCGTGGGCTCCGGCAACTGGTGCGTGGGCGGAGGGGGGGGCGCGTGGGGGGGGGGAGGCAGCGCTGCTGCAGCTGCGGGGGAGGCGCTGCAAGTTAGGACACTCGCGGCTCAGGTTAGGACACTCAAGTTAGGACACTCGCGGCTAGCAAGCGCCGAGCCTCCTTTGCACGACCCTCTTGCATGCCAGCCCAGGCGAGCGGGGTCGTTTCTTTGCTTTTTTTCGGGGGACGGAGCTGAAAGCTGACTCCTGTTGCTCATTGTGATGTGTGGGGGCTCTCGACTTTTGCGCCCCCCCCCCGCCGCCCCGTCCATTGCCGGCTACGACTGAAGGTGGTAGTGAGAGAGGTGAAAGCTATTGCTTTGGCTTTATAGCTTAAAAAAAACAAGTCGCTTAAAGCAAGCGCTGCCCTCGATCCCTCAGCAACTTGAACCATAGCAGCCAACAATATAAAATATGCTGCAATATAAAATATTTGAGGGGACGCGCACTCTCCCCCCAGTTGATGAGCATTGCCATTCAAATAGTGTGCCGTCTTATGTGATCGATTATGTGGCGTGGGGCTTACCTGATCTCCCCCACCCCAATATTTTATTCAAGTTAGCACCCCCAACGTGGGGCTCACAACCCCGAGATGCAGAGTCTCCTGCTGTGGCGTCTGAGCTATCCTAAGTTCGTTGCGCCCTTAACCTTCGGGTTAATAAATGGCGGGGGTAGGAACAGGTGCCAGCCAGATTCGCTTTCCCTCTGGTGAGACTTTCTGCCATGTCGTGGTTTGCTTGCCAGGGGGGCAGAGGGAGAGGGAAGGAGCCCCCTAGTGCTCGAGGAGAGAGCGCCCCTGACTTGAGTCTATTTCTGGAGCCTCTTGTTAGTATCACTCTCTCGAAAAGAAGCTCTGTGCGCTGCGAGGCAATGCCTTCGTGGCTCTGCTTGGTTGTCGTGCAGCTGCTCTTATTATTATTATTATTACCATCCAGGATATGTCAGAGACTAGTCCCGGAACTGGCTTTCAGTGCTAAAGCTTGACTGTGCAACATAGGAATACTTGCATGTATCTTTTGGGGCATGTGCAGAGCGCATATTTGGACATGCGCTGGAGGGTTACTATGGAGCGACCTCAGTGCATTTCCTCGACACATCAGGAGCAAGGTGGGAAAGCTTCCAGCTTCAAGAGTTGGAACTCTATAAGCCAAGAGCAAGTCTCTCCATGGGCACCTCTGTTTGCGGATGTACGGGTTCTAGTTATAATAAGCAATCTTGTTTAAATTCTTCTCTCTCCTAAGCACAAGTGAAAGCCTATAATGCTAATGTGAGAGATTTGTACCTGTTTGTGCATTTGGAGATGCATGTTTGTAGGCCAGACTTCGCCAACACAGTGTTCTTCCTAGGCTTTGGACTACAAATCCCATCATCCACAGCTTGATGGCTATGGCTGATGGGATTTGTAGTCCAAAACATCTGAATGGTCCTAGGTTGGTGAAGGTTGGTCTAGACTCTTGGTTTCTTACTATTATAATTTAGCTGACTGGTGTCTTTAGATATATAAACGGCTACATTACATGAACGGTGTGATAGTACACTGAAGAATTGCACACCTCCTTGGAAAGAGGGGGAGGAACAAGCTTCTCTAAAGAGGCCTTTAAGCGTGTAATGCACATAGATTCAGGAACGTACTAGTTCACATAACACACACCTAAGTTGCTGCAAGAGGGTGTGGTGATAGCCAGAAGCTCAAAGGGGGATTAGAGAAATCCATGGGGGAGCTATCCATGCCCATTAGTCATTAGGCAATATACCAGAAACTGGTGTGTTTGAGCAGTAGAGAGTTATTGCATTCACAACAAATTTAAAACACTTAATTGATGCTACAAAAAAAGAACCCAGCATAAAATACGGTATAAAGCGTAAATTACAATAAAATAAAAAATCAATTTAGGGGATTCGACTTTATGGGGTTCTTCTATCTCAATACTTTGGAAAGCAAATGCCTAAGAAGAGTGATGCTGGATCAGACCAAAGGCCTGTCCAGTCCAGCTTTGTGCTTCGTACTGTAGCCAAACACATACAGGGGAGCCAAGAGACCTCACCCCACTTTCGTTCCCCAGCAACCGCCATTCAGCGTCACATCACAGCCGTTATGGCTTTTGATCCTTTTTTAAAAGCTTCCAATTTGGTGGGCGTCATTAAATCTTGTGCTAGTGAATTCCAAAGTCCCAATTATGCACTGCTTCCATTTCTATTTCTTCACAATTCCCCCCCCCCCTAATCCATATATTCTGATCCCATCCCATCCCATCCTGGTGCCTAGATAGAATTTAAACAGAAGAATAAAGGGGATTCTTGGGACGCGGGTGGTGCTGTGGGTTAAACCACAGAGCCTAGGGCTTTCCGATCACAAGGTTGGCGGTTCGAATCCCCGTTGGTCCCTGCTCCTGCCAACCTAGCAGTTCAAAAGCATGTCAAAGTGCAAGTAGATAAATAGGTACTGCTCCGGCGGGAAGGTAAATGGCGTTTCCGTACACTGCTCTGGTTTGCCAGAAGCGGCTTAGTCATGCTTGCCACGTGACCCAGAAGCTGTACACCGGCTCCCTTGGCCAATAAAGCAAGATGAGCGCCGCAACCCCAGAGTCGGCCACGACTGGACCTAATGGTCAGGGGTCCCTTTACCTTTAAGGGGGATTCCACAGTACACTCTGTAATCCGAACTATCAAGCCGGCTGGGAACTTGAGGCCAACCCTCCCCAAGAACTTTGCCACTTTGGTAGCTGGTTTCCAAGGGGATTCTATTAACTTGGAGGCCGTCATTGGCTTGTGAGAGGAGGCAGCTAACAGTAGTAGGACTTCTGCAAGTTGGAAGGTGGATACTAACCCCAAGTATTTTTTTCTTTCTGCAACTGGGTGAACAGCAGCCTGCTGAATGCGTGCGTTACAAGCCTCCGTCGCAAACGTAATTACTTGAGCATTGCAAAGTTGTCTTTTGTGTGTTGTGCTTTGGGGGCCAGGGTTGGAAATGTTATGGAAGATTTGGAGGGGCACAATGTTTCGTGAACAACAGTGACTGAGGTGTGTGAGACAGTTGGTGGCTGTAGCAGGGCCTTTCCTATAGCCTGGCAGTGCCATGTTAGAGAAGCCATAAGGAACTGGTTTGCAGGCGAAGCCTCTTTAGTCGAGAGTGGATTTCATGCTCTTTATTCAGCTCATAGTGGTGAGGAGGAATGAAAGTTCCCCCAGAATGTCTGCTTTATATACAGCCCCATTTACACAATGGGCCCCACGTGATTGGCTAATTCCGGGATTCACTTGTAGGCCAATCCGGTTGCGGATTCACTTCCACCTGGAGCTGGATTGGGTGGCTCCTGTGGACCAATCAGACTGCTGCATTCTGGACCCTATTGTTCTAGGACCAATCAGACTGCTGCATTCTGGACCCTATTGTTCTAGGACCAATCAGACTGCTGCATTCTGAATCCTATTGTTCTAGGACCAATCAGACTGCTGCATTCTGGACCCTATTGTTCTAGGACCAATCAGACTGCTGCATTCTGAATCCTATTGTTCTAGAACCAATCAGACTGCTGTATTCTGAATCCTATTGTTCTAGGACCAATCAGACTGCTGCCTTTTGGATCCTATTCAACTCAGTACATAACACTGATGGTCGCACTTGGCAGTGGGTTGCTACTGATGGGTCAGCCGCAGTGGGGTGACCCAGGACATTATCCATTTGGGCCACACCATTTGGGTTCCCGCCCTGTGGAACGCCCTCCCATCAGATGTCAAGAAATAAAGAACTACAGTTGTATCTTGTTTCTTGAACGCCCTGGTACTCGTACGTTTTGGCTCCTGAACACCGCAAACCCGGAAGTAAATATTCCGGTTTGCAAACGTTTTTCGGAAACTGAATGTCTGGCGCAGCTTCCGCTTGACTGCAGGAAGCTCCTGCAGCCAAGCAGAATCCACAACTTGGCTTTTGAAAGGTTTTGGGAGCCGAACCAACTCCTGGAATGGACTAAGTTTGAGAACCAAGGCACCACTGTCTCTGACTTTTAGAAGACACCTGAAGGCAACCCTGTCTCGTGTTTGATGTTTTATCGTGTTTTTAATATTCTGTTGAGAGCTGTCCAGAGTGGCTGAGGAAACCCAGACAGATGGGTGGGGTATAAATAATAAATGATGATGATGATGATGATGATGATGATGATGATGATTAGGATTGTGATGAGGGTGAAGACACTCACTGGGTGATCAGTTGTAGGCTTGCTCCTGGGTGAGATGCTGGAAGGGGGAATGTGTGCTAATACAGAATCCAATTGCGCAGTGGAAAATTGGGGAGCTGTGGCGAGAGCATGAATGCAGTTTATGAATTCATACTCAGTGTGTTTGGTGGGTGATTTTGTTGATTCATGCTGTTGGATGTACTGTATTTGTCAGATCATTCTTTTGTATTTATACGCTCTTTGCTGCTTTGGGAGCCTTTGGGCAGTGTACAAATGAAATAACCTGCTAGAGAGATAGGACTTTGAACTTTGAAGGGCTGCATTCTTTCTCAGTCTTGCATACACTCTCTTTTGTTTCTTCTCTCCCTCTGCAGGGGTTCGGCTATTGCCAAGATTGTGGGCAGCAATGCAGCCAAGCTGGACAAGTTTGACACCACAGTCAACATGTGGGTGTTTGAGGAGGAAATTGGTGGCAAGAAACTCACGGAGATCATCAACACACAGCATGAGAACGTCAAGTACTTGCCAGGCCACAAGCTGCCCCCCAATGTGGTGAGCTCAGAAGCCGGGGGGGGGGGAGGGAGAGAGAAGGGAAGCAATGTGTGGGCAGCGTGGCAGCTGTATTCCAGGCTAGGCCAATGTGTCACTTGCCTCTCTGTGCCTGCAAGTCAGCCTAGAGCCTTTCAAAAGGTCAAAAACAGCCTCAAGGTAACAATAACAATAATAAAATTTATTATTTATACCCCACTCATCTGGCTGGGTTTCCCTAGCCACTGTGGGCAGCTTCCAACCAAATATTAAAAACAATAAAGCATCAGACATTAAAAACTTCCCTAAACAGGGTCGCCTTCAGTTTTAAAAGACACCCTCGCAGCAGATGTCAAGGCAATAAACAACTATTTTACTTTAAATAGTTGTTTATTGCCTTGACATCTGTTGGGAGGGCGTTCCACAGGGCGGGCGCCACTACCAAGAAGGCCCTCTGCCTGGTTCCCTGTAACTTTACTTCTCGCAGTGAGGGAACCACCAGAAGGCCCTCAGAGATGGACCTCAGTGTCCGGGCAGAACGATGGGGGAGGAGACGCTCCTTCAGGTATACTGGACCAAGGCCGTTTAGGGATTTAAATTTTAAACACTTTGAATTGTGCTCGGAAACGTATTTGGGTGCCTGTTGCAGAAAATCCAAGAAGCATCAACCGTGGGGATCCAGAAATGTAAGAAACCGAACAAAGCACATTTTCCCATCCTTTAATGGCATCTCAGTATTTGCCTTGAGTTGTGTTCAAACCCAAAATTTCAAGTACGTGTGCCCCTAAGATTTCTGGGAACTGTAGTTTTCCTCCTCACATAGCTACACTTCTCAGAAACCTTAACAAATGACAGGATTCTTTGAGTAATTAAAGCAATGCACTTTAAATGTAATGTGTGCATGCATCTGTAAGCCCCGGCAGCAGAAAAGCTCCCCCCTTGATATTTGTCCTGAATTTGCATTTTCGAATACAAATTAGCATATGCACATAAATATATGCCATAGACTTGTGCCAAGAAACGTGTACCTAACAATGTCCCTGACTGTGACAATGGGAAGTATTTGTCAATCTATTGCAGTACATGTATCTAGACTAGGCCAAGATAAATTATGGGATTCCCAATAGCTGAAGTTGGTCTCTTGTTGGGGGAGTGGAGTGGACTTAAGCTAAACTAACTCCCGTCGGTTTCAAGAGGAGAGGAAAGCAAGTGTTCAAATATATCCTCTTTTAGAATTTGTGAGGACTTGAGACGCGCTTAAGATTTGGCTGGAACACGCTGAATGTTGAGAATCTCGCTTATTCCCTCCCACATAACTCTGAACAAAGGACTCTTTTGTTGGAGCATTTCATGCTTTCTGACTTCTTGAAAACTTGCACCAACTTCATCACCTGAAAATTAACAGTGCGGGATACACATTGAAAGGTTATAGGGGGACGTGGGGAGGAAGAATCACATGTCAAATGTGGCTCAGAAATAACAATGGCAGAAGCAGTTGGTTTTAAAAGGAGCAACTTTCTGAAGTACCTGTTGGAGAAGCAGTTTGTCTGCTAATAGGCTGGCCAGTTTTTAACCTCTCTCTTGAGGATGAACAAGATGCAGATTAGGCTTCTTCCTATTGGAGGGGAGCTTTGAGCAGGAGTAAGCATTCAAACTATAGGAACGCGGGTGGCACTGTGGGTTAAACCACAGAGCCTAGGACTTGCCGATCAGAAGGTCAGCGGTTCAAATCCCCACAGCGGGGTGAGCTCCCGTTGTTCGGTCCCAGGTCCTGCCCACCTAGCAGTTCAAAAGCACGTCAAGTGCAAGTAGATAAATAGGTACTGCTTCAGCGGGAAGGTAAATGGCATTTCCATGCGCTGCTCTGGTTCTCCAGAAGCGGCTTAGCCATGCTGGCCACATGACCCAGAAGCTGTACGCAGGCTCCCTCGGCCTATAGAGCGAGATGAGCGCTGCAACCCCAGAGTCGTGCGCGACTGGACCTAATGGTCAGGGGTCGCTTTACCTTTACGCATTCAAACAGAGGACGCAGGTGGCGCTGTGGTCTAAACCACAGAGCCTAGGGCTTGCCAATCAGAAGGTCGGCGGTTCGAATCCCCGTGACGGGGTGATCTCCTGTTGCTCGGTCCCAGGCCCTGCCAACCTAGCAGTTCAAAAGCACATCAAGTGCATGTAGATGAATAGGTACTGCTTCGGCGGGAACGTAAACGGCGTTTCCATGCGCTGCTCTGGTTCGCCAGAAGCGGCTTAGCCATGCTGGCCACATGACCCGGAAGCTGTCTGCGGACAAACGCCGGCTCCCTGGGCCTATAGAGCGAGATGAGCGCTGCAACCCCAGAGTCGTCCGCGACTGGACCTAATGGTCAGGGGTACCTTTACCTTTACCTAAGCATTCAAACATGAAATCCACAGTCAGCAGTGTGACTGGTCACTGTTTGGGAAGGAGCTGTGTGTTTTGAGCTATCTCCAATTTTCCCTTTTGGTCTCCCAGTGCTAGCCAAAGCCAAGTTCCCAATTGAATTTCTGTTTCATCAGCTTTCTACTGGGATACTTTAGCATATGTGTTGTGTTGTGCCATAGTTACACGTGCCAAACCCTAGCCAGTGGTAGGAGGAAAATGGCGTTGCTTTTAGGAAGTCAAACCCACTGCTGTACTCTGCATGTAATTCAAAGAACAAATAGTTCCCGATTCTGACTGTGGGACTGATGTGTGTATTCGTTGATTCCAAATGTGCTGTTTCAGGGAAATGCATCTATAGGTATGCAATAGCTTCTGGAGAAGTTCTTAGCAAACAAACAAGGTGGCCAATAAAGGTACATCTCAGGGAGTTGCTTCTCCCATATATCTCACCCCCCAGACAAGCTAGATCTTCTGATGGAATCCTGCTGCTTCAAAACCATCTCATGTGCAGGGCCTTTTCAGTCGTGGCTCCAAAGTAGATCTGAGAGATCTACACAGACTCCTCTCTGCTGCCGTTTTTCTGCATGAGTTTTTATTTCTGATTGCCTTTGCTAATCATTGATTAAGTTCTGTTGACCAGCTACCACTGCTTTAGTTCATACCACTTTATTTTAGCCACTGTTTTGTTGTTTATATGATTTTATTTTGTGTGTGTATCCTCCTGCTATTTTTGTGACCTTTGATTTTAATTTTGCTGTAAAAGCTAATCGTATAACCTTTTTGGGTGAGCTATGGTATACAGATTACTATCAACTGACAATGGATTATTTGTGTCAAGCCTGGAAGGGTCTTCAAGGCCCATTTAGCAGATTTCCCTGGGCCTCCTTCCTCCTGTCAGACCCAGAGGAGCACAGCAGGGTTGGCTTGCGCCTCTTCCAGGAGAATGAAGATCAAGGAACAAGTTGCCTTGGCAACAAAAGTAATAAATAACCTTCTCTCTGCCTGCTAACATTTCCCAGTGCTAACAGAGTGTCAAAAAGCCCACTCAATAAAAACACATGCTGGGAGATGGCAGAGAGATTAGATGTTACACTAGGCAAGTCTTGTTCATTGAGCACAGGGTTCAAATGCCTTTTATGTTGTTTTTTAATAATATCTTCCCCATGCCCCCCTCCCTCTCCAATACTTAGCTGGTGGCGCTGTGGTCTAAACCACTGAGCCTCTTGGGCTTGCCGATCAGAAGGGTGGCAGTTTGAATCCCCGCAATGGATGAGCTCCCATTGCTCTGTCCCAGCTCCTGCCAACCTAGCAGTTCGAAAGCACACCAGTGCAAGTAGATAAATAGGTACCGCTGCAGAGGGAAGGTAAAAGGAGTTTCTGTGTGCTCTGGCTTTTGTCATGGAGTCCCGTTGTGCCAGAAACGGTTTAGTCATGCTGGCCACATGACCCAGAAAGCTGTCTCTGGACAAACGCCAGCTCCCTCAGCTTGAAAAGCTAGATGAGCGCCGCAACCAGTCACCTTTGACTGGACTTAACCATCCAGGGGTCCTTTAATTTACACACACACACACACACACACACACACACACACGTATCTCTGCTTAAATCAGGTGTGAGGAGCTTTAGGTGCTCCAGATGTTGCTGAACTTCATCTCCCACCAGCCCCAGCAGTTGCCAATCTTCTTTGGTTAGGACCTTGCTCGTTTTTCATTTTGGGGCTAACAAAACACGGGCCACAGTTGTTGCATACATAAAAAACATTTCCTGACACCTGAGGATTTCAGTCTGAATTATCCCCAACAGAAAGGACTCTGGTTTCTCAGCCAAAGAAGGTCCCAACCAAAGAAGATTGGTAATTTAAGTTGACAGAATATGCACAACTTGCATACTTAACATATACAATAAGAGAACAAGAAGAACATTTAGAGAAGATTGGAAAACGTTTGTTGAATGTATGGAAAATAATTGTGTCCACTGAAAACGCTGGCAGCATTAAGATAAAATCAACAGTGTGAATAAGTTGATGCAATAATGGAATACTTAATGGTATAGTTTTTGTAAACTATGCAGGGATTTATGATATGGAACCATGGAAAGAGAAGTCACTGATATCTTAAGGATGTTAAATGAGTATTTTAGATTGTAAAACAGAAAATTTTAATATAGAGAGAGAGAGAGGACTCTGGGTTTTTTGGGAAAGTAATTTATGCAAACATTCAGCTTTCTTCAAAGGCATTTGGTTACCCTAGTGCAGAATTTCCTAGGATTTGTTGAGCATGTGTGTCTTATGAGAGCTGCAAACTTTTCTTCCACCACCGTCACCCTTCCTTGCGCTCACTGATCCTGCTCCCTTGAGCTGCCTAGACTTCTTGTTGATGCCTTTCTTTTCTCCAACCCGCCCCCAACTGCTGCAGGTGGCAGTGCCAGATGTGGTGAAGGCTTCAGCTGATGCAGACATCCTTATCTTTGTAGTGCCGCATCAATTTATTGGGAAGCTCTGTGACCAACTGAAAGGCCATATCAAGAAGGACGCGATTGGGGTCTCGCTCATCAAGGTGTGAGTTGGAACTAAGGGTTGGGCTGCTCCGAGCAGCTGCAAGGTGGGGCTGGCGGGAGATGCAACCATCCTAGGAACTAACTGGGGCAGGTTGCATGAGTTTGCTTAGATGAGCTGAGAGGCAATTGGGTGCGTGTGTTGTGTGAGAAGGATAAACACACCCAGAACGGGCTCACGAAAAGCCTGTGGGAGAGTGGGGAACACCCGCATGGGACACAATTCCCTATGGTTAATCAGTGACTGTGATTTATTGAGAGAGCATATAATGGATTATAGCATTGCAGCAAGCTTAGTCTTCCCTGTTGAGGCTCCTGGAAGTATTCTTTTGACTCTTGTGGTATCTTCAAAGCTTCAGGCAAATACCAAGTTCTTGGGTTGAGGACTTGTTAATACTCACATATGGAAAGGAGGATCAGCAGCCCGTGAGCCAATTTTGCTGCTCCCAACACCCAAAATTACTGTAGCAGTTGTAGGCATATTGTATGCTACCTTTTCCCCAAACTGGGACGCAAGGCAGCTTATATAGACAAAGTTTGTTGCTTAGCTGTCTTAGTTGTGTTTGTCTCTCTGTGACCCCATGAACCAGAGCATGCCTTGGAAACTCTCACTTCTCAAAGCTGCTCATTTTTTATGTCCAGGGAGTTTTCTTGACAAAATACTGGAGTGGTTTGCCAGTTTGTTCTCCAGGTGGATCACATTTAGTCTAAACTCTTGGCTATGAACTGCCCGTCTTGGGTGGCCCTGCACGGCATAGCTCATAGCTTCTCTGAGTTATTCAAGCCCCTTCGCCACGACAAGGCAGTGATCCATGAAGGGGATAGATAAAATAGAAACAGCCAAAGACATAGGAAAAAACCTACCGTTAGAAAGCAATTAAACACACACATTTACACAAAATATATATGATTTTAATTAAAATAAAAACATCACAGCACCAAGAGTTTGGATTTGATATCCCGCTTTATCACTACCCTAAGGAGTCTCAAAGTCGCTAACAATCTCCATTCCCTTCCTCACCCACAAAAAAACACTCTGTGAGGTGAGTGGGGCTGAGAGACTTCAGAGAAGTGTGACTAGCCCAAGGTCATCCAGCAGCTGCATGTGGAAGAGCGGGGAATCAAACCCGGTTCACCAGATTACGAGTCCACGGCTCTTAACCACTACACCACACTGGCTCTACCAGCCTTTTCCTTAAAAATAGTCAGTTCCCCAAAGCCTGTTGGAACAAGAAAGTCCAACAGCAAGGAGGGAGCCAGTCCATTTTCTCTAGGAAGGGTGTTCCAAAGTCTGGGAGCAGCCACCGCTAGCCACAACATCTATTGTATGCTGTTGCATCTCTTTGGGGGATAAGGATGCTCTCAGAAGGACTATGGGCTACTTGAGGGATCTCAGCAAAGAGCTACCCCCCTGACCACGTCATGTTCTGTTGAATCCCAGGGTGTGGATGAAGGACCCGATGGTCTGAAGCTGATATCGGACATCATCCGCGAGCAGCTTGGCATCGAAATGAGTGTGCTTATGGGGGCCAACATCGCCAACGAGGTGGCCGACGAGAAGTTCTGCGAGACCACCATTGGTATATGAGTTTGAGCTTATTCCTATGGCTAGCTGGGCGGTGAGAACCTCTCCAAGTGGGCTGCTCATGTCAAGGTCTTCTGTCCCTCCTTACCTTACCAGTGCCACCACCAGATGTCTTGGGCCTACTGAAGCTTGTGTCCAAGAGCAGCTCCACAATAGTACATTAGAGGCTTTGGTTCATCAAGTATAGACAACAAATAGGGAACATGTGGCACTTCAGATGCTGCAGACTACAACTCCCCTCGGCCATGACAGCTGAGCCTGGTGGGAGTTGGGAGCTCAGCAACATTTGGAGGGCCACAAGTTCCCCATCTCTGGCATAGATGGTATGATTTTGCCACATCTCACCTTGGACACAAGGGACATCACGTTAAACTCACTACAGCATGTGAGGAAACCGGTGTGTCTCCTCTGCCCGAATTGCTCTCTACTCTTGCTGCCATTCAGCTTTCTCTCTCACCTGCAGTGGCCCATGGGGATCCAGGTATGACCCACAGCAAGTAGAAAGGACTTGGAAGGGAACACGGAGAACCCTGGCCTCTCTCCCTTGCTGTATGTCAGATCTGTGTCATGTTAATAACACTGCAGGGGTTTCAGAAGGGTCTGAAAACGTTGTCTTTTTATATGAGCCTCCCAGCTGTGAGATTGCTTTATTCGCTAGATTGTTCTATTTTTTGAGTTACATTATTCACCCGTTGTAGGGTGGTGGTGGTGGTGGTTTTTTTAAAAGTTGTAAGGAGCTTTGATTTAGTTTGCTTAAATATATCACACTGATTAGGTTAAAATACACATCACTTAAGGAATTAAGCAAGTTAACTACATATCCAGAGCAAAGGGTGTCCTTGAAAGACCTGCATGCATATTCCTGAAGGGGTTAAGCCTTCTTGAGCTGTGGATCCAACACATGAATGTGGATGTTAAAGGAAGCACATTGGTTGTATTGGCTTCACACAACAGCGGCAGGGAAACATGGAGGAACCGCAGCAAGTGCAACCATGTAAAGGTGCAGAGCTGCTCTTGGCCATCGCTAGAGGTGACTGTAATGGCCCACTGCCCTGCTACTCGTGGTTGGATCCAGTAGGGGGAGCAGCACAAAGAGGATGATTCTTCTTCCTCTTTGGCGATCACTCATAGCCGAGTAAGATTGTCTTCCATGGGCAGCCAATTTTCAGAAGGACAGTCCACAGGGCATTAAAGGGCAGAGAGGATGTGGAGATACATCAACAGGAAAATTGGTCTTGGGCGCTTTATTATACTACATAAAGGAGCATACAAAGCTCCAGGATAGAGTATTTGCCCCTCTAGCCCAGTATTGTCTACTCCCCGTTGGCAGGGGCTGTCCGGGGGTCTCGAGCAAAGATGGATCTTTCCTGTCACCTGTTGTTGTTGTTGTTTAGTCGTGTCCGACTCTTCGTGACCCCATGGACGAGAGCACGCCAGGCACTTCTGTCTTCCACTGCCTCCCGCAGTTTAGTCAAACTCATGCTGGTAGCTTCAAAAACGCTATCCAACCATCTCGTCCTCTGTTGTCCCCTTCTCCTTGTGCCCTCCATCTTTCCCAACATCAGGGTCTTTTCCAGCGAGTCTTCTCTTCTCATGAGGTGGCCAAAGTATTGGAGCCTCAGCTTCAGGATCTGTCCTTCCAGTGAGCACTCAGAGCTGACTTCCTTCAGAATGGATAGGTTTGATCTTCTTGCAGTCCACGGGACTCTCAAGAGTCTCCTCCAGCACCATAATTCAAAAGCATCAATTCTTTGGCGATCACCTGTTAACCTGATCAATTTTAACCGGAGGTGGCAAGGACTGAATGCTATGCAAAACATGTGGTCTTCTGCTGAGCTACAGCCTCTTCCTGAAGAGAAGAGGAAAGAAGAGGGTCTGATTTGTTAATAAGTTCCAGGTTCTTCAGAGAGCAACTGGAACAAGCTCTATTCACCTCCAGACACCTTCAGTGCAGCCCCCTCCCCGGGGGGGAGGCTTGAGCCTGATAATTATACTTCTAATTTTGATAACCCTGGGGGAGGGAAAAATGAGAGATCCATTGGTTGCCATGCAGGTGGGGAGAGTGGAGGCATCATTCCCTCTGGCAATCAGAAATGCTTCCAATGATGGAAGCATCAGAAGAGTGAGATGTCCAATTCCTCCCTTGGGCTTCAGAGAGGCAAGGAGCAAGGCAGTGTCTACTTATGCCCATGTCTTACCTCTTTGCAGGCTGCAAGAACCTAGAGCACGGACAGATCCTGAAGGAGCTGATGCAGACGCCGTGTTTCCGAATCAGTGTGGTGCAAGAATCGGACACCGTAGAAATCTGTGGTGCCCTCAAGGTGTGGGAATAACCAGGCTACCAGCGGTTTGGCAACTTCCGCATGGGGTGTGGCTTGCTGCCAAGGGAGGTCTCTGTTGGCACGATGGCATTGCACAGAAGAATGGGAGACCTGTGGCCTTCCAGATGTTGTTGGGTTCCCAACTTCCATGAGCCCCAGCCATCATGGTCAACTGTCAGGTATCATGGGATCTGTAGTCCAGCAACATCTTGAGGGCCTAAGATTCCCCACACCTGGCCTAAAACTTCTGTTGACCTCCCAAGTACATACGTACGTGCACACAGAGTCTGTACAACTCTAGATGCAAAGTTATGACTGTTTGGGAAGCCATGCTGCCTCACCAGGGAGCTGGAGCAGGTGGGGGACTTGATGGGAGCTTCTCCAATGAAATGCGCTTTACATTATATGCTTGCTGGAGGGAGGTGGTTTCTACAGAACCCATCTCTGCTGCCATCCTTTCATGGAAGCCATCATTTGTAGCCCTGCTTAGAACAGCAAAGGTTGGTCTGTCGACTCCCTGCCTTAAATAGTTGCAAGCCTAGCGTCGGCCAGAGCCTTTTTGGTTATCAACCTATGTTCTTCTTCCTTAGAACATTGTGGCTGTCGGGGCTGGTTTCTGCGACGGGTTGGGCTTTGGAGACAACACCAAGGCAGCGGTAATCCGCCTGGGCCTGATGGAGATGATCGACTTTGCCAAAATCTTCTGCAAGGGCTCCGTCAGTTCTGCCACGTTCCTGGAGAGCTGTGGGGTTGCCGACCTCATCACCACCTGCTATGGGGGCCGTAACCGAAAAGTGGCAGAGGCTTTTGCCAAGACCGGCAAGGTAAGTAAGCATTTGCATAGGGCTCTTTTTAAGGTTGTCAAATATCTCTCAAGGAAAACTCCTACTGTAGTGCAATAAGACAGTATTTCGCAAAGCTTTTAAAATCCCACTTTATGCAGTGCATAGAGTGCTTCAAACATCGGTAATTCAAAATGCTGTAAGGGAGGCCAGTATTATTTTTCTATATTCAATTCGCTTTTTTTCCCGACACAAAAAGGTGCCGGAACACACCTCCCTCAGAAGACCCACTCCAGAGCCCAAAGAGCATCTCGTCTCCTTGTGATCCAGAAGCTTGTTGAGGGGATGCTCAGGTTGAGGTGAAGGGAGCCTTCTGTGCTTCAGCTAAGCACCTTAAAGCGCTCCCCACAAGCACCTCTCTAGCTTGTGTGAGTTGCAGCAGCCTGGGGGCTTGCTCAGGTGACTATCCCACATGTCAGCTGTTAGGTAGGAGGCTGAAGAGCTTCAGCAAAGCCAAAGGAATGTGACCTGTTCTATTTTTTTTATATAATATATTTATTAAAGTTTTCAAAAAGTTACAAAAAGAAAAAAATACAAAGTAAAAACAGTTAAAAACAATTCAATCTTTCCATATCTTATCTTTCATTTGCTTGTTCCCCAGACCTCCTCGCACCTCCCTTTTTTGTATCCAGTTCAATTAGTTGGTTCAGCAAATCCTTTCCCTCTTTGTTTTTATCCTAATCTTTAATCTTAATATATTATAACTTTAAATTATCACCTGTTAACAAACCATTTTTGCACATCTTTATGACATTACTGCTGAAAACCACTTAACTTAAATCCAACATCATTCTAACATTCATTAATTTTACAATATTTCTGTAAATAGTCTTTAAATTTCTTCCAATCTTCTTCCACCAACTCTTCTCCCTGGTCTCGGATTCTGCCGGTCATTTCTGCCACTTCCATATAGTCCATCACCTTCATCTGCCATTCTTCCAGGGTGGGTAGATCTTGTGTCTTCCAATACTTTGCAATGAGTATCCTTGCTGCTGTCGTTGCGTACATAAAAAAAGTTCTGTCCTTCTTTGGCACCAATTGGCCGACCATGCCCAGGAGAAAGGCCTCTGGTTTCTTCAGGAAGGTATATTTAAATACCTTTTTCATTTCATTATAGATCATCTCCCAGAAGGAATGTGACCTGTTCTAGCCTGGAAAAGAGAGGTTGGTCACCTCTCTTTGCCAGGCTAGAACAGGTCACATTCCTTTGGCTTTGCTGAGGCTCCTCATCATATGATTATGGTGGTGGTTTATTTATTGCTTTAATGCCAAAATAGTCTTCTAATCAGTTTGCAATGATGAGAAACTAATCACACACGCATTAAAATACAAACATCCATCATTAAAATGTATAATGAAACAATCCTATTGAAAGGTACATGGGGAAATGGTTTTGGAAACTGAAGAGCTATTTGATTCCAGGCAGCTGCTATGAGAGCAACAGCCACACAGTTCCCAGCCAATGGCTTCCAGGGGGTAATTCTAGCCAGAGTGCAGTGAAGACTCCTATCCTTGTCTTCAAATTCGAGTTGGGCATTAAAGAGGGAGAGAGGGGGGAAAAAACAGTTGGGTTTGCACAAAATATCCACATCCCTTGCCAAGGACATTTGACTTCAATCTTTGTTGCAATGCTTGTTTTGATGTCAACACCAGGTATTTCACAAAATTTGGGAAGCGGCAGCAATCGAGATCTGCAGGGTGACTGCAGGGAAGGAAAGGTGGACTAGCAAAGCTTGACACCAGGGCAGGCCTGATGGTGCAAATGCTTTCCTGGGGCAACAGTATTTTAGGAACATAGTAAAGCAACATCTAAGAGGCAAGCTGCAGGATTCCTTGCAGTAGATGCCAGGAAGCTACTTGCATATTGTGTGTAGAGGAGAGGTTTGGTTTAGGCTGGCCTTGATTGATACTGTCACCTCTCTACAGCTAAGCATACTGGCCTGGCCAGTATCTGAGTTGTTATTTTTTAAAAACAACAACAATCAAGGAATAGAATATATAAATTTCAGGAAATAAATATGATGTTTTCATCTCCAGCAAGGATATCTCACACATTCTTAGAACATTTAAACTGGCTTTGTACTTCAGCCGCTGCCATGGCTACTCCCAGGGGTGGGTGGCGCCGTGGTCTAAACCACTGAGCCACTTGGGCTTGCCAATCAGAAGGTTGGCGGTTCAAATCCACGCAATGGGGTGAGCTCCCATTGCTCTGTCCCAGCTCCTGCCAACCAAGCATTTCGAAAGCACACTAGTGCAAGTAGATAAATAGGTACCGCTGTGGCGGGAAGGTAAATGGCATTTCTGTGCGCTTTGGCATCCGTCACGGTGTTCCATTGTGCCAGAAGCGATTTAGTCATGCTGGCCACATGACCCGGAAAGCTGTCTGTGGTCAAACACTGGCTCCCTCGGTCTGAAAGTGAGATGAGCACCGCAACCCCATAGTCACCTCTGACTGGACTTAACCGTCCAGGGGTCCTTTACCTTTTACCTGTGACTTCTCCCAAGGAGTCATGGGATGTGTAGTTGGTAAAGATGCCAAAAAGTCTGTTAGATCCCTGCTACAGATATGCACACACCTTGCTGAACTGGTGTTCAGGGATGAGAAACCTGTGGCCCTCCAGCTGTTGGTTGGACTACAACTTCCATCATCCCTGACCACCGGCCATGATACCTGGAGCTGATGGGAGTCAAGTAACATCTTGAGGACCATAGTTTTCCCATCCCTGGTTTGCAGGTTCCCCAGGGCAGAGAGTCCAGCATCTGAATCTCTTTAACTCTGTGTGGGATAAGATATGTCCAAAGAGAAGCACAGAGAAGGACGTCCTTCTCTGGATCAACCTTCTAGGATTCGCCCAACTTGGGGAGGAAGGCTGTGCCATGCAGCCACTCATACTTGGAGATCTGTCTTGCATCTTGCAGTCTATCGAGCAACTAGAGAAGGAGATGCTCAATGGGCAGAAGCTGCAGGGCCCTCAGACATCAGCAGAGCTGAACCACATCCTCAAGAGCAAGAATCTGGTCGACAAGTGAGTCCCGTGTGACCTTTTTTTTCTGTTTTGCTTGCCATCAATATGTATGCCGCAATGGCACCCATTGGATTGGTGTAACAATCAGCAATGGGCTTGTTTCTAGGGCTGTACGCAAATTCTTGGATTGGTTGATGAACTGATTACTCAATCCACCAATTCAATAAATTTGCATGTTACCAAAATCTAAGTGTGGGAGGTCTATTTCGAGATAATAAAGAAAATGTGAATTAACTGACTATTTAATAAACAAAAGCAACCACTTGTGGCTGGAAGTGCCAGCTTTAATTTTCGTCTCTTTTGTTTCTTGCAGTGGCCCTTAAACCCTCATCAATTAAAACTGGCTGTATACAAATAAAACTCTACTCAGAAGTAAGTCCCACTGAGTTCAGAGGGGCTTGCTTTCAGTTAAGTGTGTGAAGGACTGCAGCCTGAAGCTCACCACTCTATTTATTTGCACTTCCAGAAGTACAGGGCAACAACACACCCCTAAGACCTCATGAAGTTCCATATTTTATTTACAGGCAAATCACTGGTCCCTCCAATGCTCTTCCTAGTGTCACACCAGGTTTCTCAAACTCGCCCTTTTGCAAGTTTTCATTTTCCTAGCAAGCTTTGCTACCTGTGTGAGAGTTAAATCTCATTTACCGTCTTTTCTCCCCACTGCAGATTCCCTCTTTTCACTGCTGTCTACGAGATCTGCTACACTGGCAAACCTGTCTCCGACTTCATCAAGTGCCTGCAAAACCATCCTCAGCACTTTTGATGGGCTTCCAGTCTCGCTCCTACAAAGAAAGGGGTTTGGGAGGACTTCCTGTTTCCCCACTGCCATCCCAACACGAGAAGAGGGACCCAACACAGAGCACAGGGCAAACAAGGGAGGACTCATCAAAGAATCATAGAATAGTGGAGTTGGAAGGGACACTAAGAGTCATCTCAATGCAGGAAACACAGCTACATAATCCCAGACAGATGGCCGTCCAACCTCTGTTTAAAAACCTCCAGTGAAGGAGAGTCCACCACCTTTTGAGGTGGTCCGTCCCACTGTCAAAACAACTCTAACCACCATGGAGGTACTGGATCAACTCTTTTGCCAGGGAGTTTCTGCCATTTACCAATCTCACCTTAAATGGACAAAAGTTGCCTATGTTGAGTCAGTCTCTTGTTTTGCTCTTCTTAGATTCCAGAGCATCCAACTTCTCGGCACACACAGCAGGCAAAGCTTTGGCTTTTATCTTTTCTCTTGAGGAGAGAGAGAATTTCTTCTGCCTTTTCTCTGTCACATTTCTCCGACTTGATTTTGACTTCTCTGGGTTCAGGCTTGAACCCTGCCGGTTTTGACTGCCTTAAGGGCTTGTTGAAAGTCAGTAATTGGGAGAAGGGACAGGAAGCAAATTCCGATTACAGGTAAACCACCATTTATGCACGTTCAATATGTGTGTGGCTGTGCATACATGCATCACTTCAAACCCAGAAGTTACCTGAAAACAATCACGAAAAGGGGACGAACAGGGTGTTTGCAGGCTTCTTCAAATATACGCAATTTCACTTAAATGAACGGTGCCTCGGAACGTAACCCCTGCGTAAATGGGGGGTTGCCTGTATTATTATTTTTTACTCCATGCCTGGAACGCAAGGAACCCCAGGCATGATTTAAAAATAGCTGCTAGGGTTCTCTCCCCAGACAAGGCTTGACCTCAGCATCCCTGGTATCCATGGGAATGGGAACTGTAGCCCTGAATGTGAATATTTGTCTTTTTGAAAAACAAATATTAAAGTGAGAAACAAGAAATAATACAGATTAGTTGTTTATCATTCGTCAAAGACCTGGCTGAACTTCACAGCACACAATGGAAGGGGGAAGGGGGAATTTCATAGAAACATAGAACTCCAAAGTTGGACGGGACCACACCGATCATCCAACCCCTGCAATGCAGTAATCTTTTTTCCCCAACGTCTACTGACCGAGCTATCCTGCCAGCACAAGGGTATGGATGATTATGAGAACAGAAGAAGCATGTTAGGAATATTCTGGGTATGTGGTTTTGGGGTGGCTTTGGCATCTTGGCCAGAATAATTCTTCAGTTTTAGGGCGCTGAAGATGGATGGGGTGAAGCAAACTCTGCTCATTTCACAAGGCACTTGCTTTCCCAGCGCTGCAGCTGAGTTGCCTTCCTCATTTTGGAGTGACCTTTCCAGCCCTTCCCAACCCCCAACCCCACCCTCCAGCAACTTAATCTGCTGATGTGGCAGGAGTCTCTGTGCCTTTTATTAGATGCTCAGAATCACTGGATACCCTGTGACCTTTCTATTCAGACAGCCCCCAAAAAATTAAATTAAAGATAAATAAATTGGTAGGATGGGAGAGGACCCTATTTCCCACTCCCCAAATCAAAGGTGACACTGGCTCTGAACCTTTTAGTTCAGGAGTCAGCAAACTTTTTCAGCAGGGGTCCAGTCCACTGTCCCTCAGACCTTGTGGGGAGCCGGACTATATTTTTTTTTGGGGGGGGGGTGAACGAATTCCTATGCCCCACAAATAACCCAGAGATGTATTTTAAATAAAAGGACACATTCTACTCATGTAAAAACATGCTGATTCCCTGACAGTCCGTGGGCCATATTTAGAAGGCGATTGTGCCGGATCCAGCCCCCGGGCCTTAGTTTGCCTACCCATGGTTTATTTTCTACTGGGGGAGATGGGAGGGATCTCCAAATATCAATACCTGCACCCTTCTCCAGGAAGCATTATCCATCTTCTCATATATCAGCTTCCCTTCCTCTTCAAAAAGAAGTTCCAGCCATTTGGTGGCTCATCACCTCTGCTCTCTCGATTCCACAATCAATGCATTTTAAGTCAGGATGCAGCTCTTTCTGCCATCTGCCTAACACACTATCAAGGAGACATACATCACACATCTTTAACTTCCAGCCCCGGGAGGAGAGCAGGGAGCATTCGTGCGACACACCTACACACTGCTCCCAACACTAACGTGTCGCAACACACCATTTGGAAAGCTCTGCTCTAAGGCCAACTCACAAGTAGACCCCATGTGCTCCATGGAAGTACACCTGGCTGTTCCTAGATTGAAAGGGGCCATTTAGGAGAATCAGCAACTGTGTCTGGATGCTGAACATTTTCCAGACCGGCATAAGGACCTGGATGGGTTTGGCTCAGCTAACAGTACCTACAAACCAATACCACTAATGTGCTACTTGCTTTGCAGCGTTCAAACTTCCAGCATCGTCTCCTGTGTAACTTGGCAATGTTAGCAGAATATTACTTAAATTTAGAGTGTAAGAAACAGGTAAACTTCACACCACCCCAACCTCCAAGTAGTGCAAGATTCCAGGGTTCAGTTTCCTTGGAATGAGGGACCACGGAGACCGTAGTGTCTTTATGATATATGGCTTATTTATGCATATATGCAACCTGAGCATACAATGGAGGAGCTCACAGCATTAAAATCACGGGAGTGTATTGTTCCTCCCATAAAGGTACAGGTGTCCTGTCTCTCTTTTGCATCTGGTTACCCCTAACCTTTAGTGGTTCCCAGTTGTACTATCAAGTAGAAGAAAGTAATCCCGATATGGCAGAGAGCTCGCATTCACTTGATAGAAACTGTGTATAGCTTGAAACTGGGTGAGCTGCTCTTTGAAAGTCTCCTAGGTCTACATGGCACTCTCCCTCCCTTTGCAGTTGCTATAAAAAGGTCTCCCCTTTGCCATTTGGAGTTATGTTCTGCCAGCACAGCAGCCTGTTAAGGGCTGTTCTCAGTTTTAAGAAGGGACAGGCCCAGTGTAAGTGAAGGTATAATATTTACTGGGGTTTGCTGGTACAGAGGCTTGGCACAGGGGTGGACTTTGGTAATATGGTGCTCTGAGTGAGGATGAAATCTGGTGCCTGTCATGCCAATATTTCTTATTTTCACAAAAAATCATTTTGGTACAGTTGCATTATTATGGATCTTCTCAACAGAATCATAGAACTGTAGAGTTGGAAGGGACCCTGCGAATCATCTAGTCCAACCCTTGGCAATGCAGAAATATTCAACTGTCCCTTACGGGGATCGAACCTACGGCCTTGGTATGATCAGCACCATGCTCTAACCAACTGAGCTATCCAGTTATTATTCTTTTGTGCCCCTTCGGCTTGGCTTAATGTGTGGGGGAACCGCCTGCATCATCCTAAGTCTGGTGCTACTTGGAACTACTGAGAATACCCTATTCTCCTCTGAGGAGCAGACAACTTTCACCATGTGTTGTCTCACATAATAACGACACAACTCGCCATGCCTGCAATGGACTCAGCTACAACATGACACTTATTTGGCAAGCGCGAACACTGATGCAGAAGACAAAGCCAAGAAGATAAAATTTGGCTCCTGCTAGACTCCTTCACTATTTCCATGGTGGAAAAGAAATTTTAAAAAACTGAAAGCCATGCTGGGAGAGACACAAAGGTACAATCAGAAACTAAGATTAGACAGACACCTCCAGGCTATTATTATTTTTTAATTGTGGGCATACTCTGCCACACACCATTGATTGCAACATGCTGCGCATTACCCAGCCAGATGGGTGGGGTATAGATAATAAAATTATTATTATTATTACTATTGTTGTTGATCATCCACACATCATTCTGCTTTATCAGTGGTTCTGCGACGCCTCCCCACTCTTAGCTCACTACAGCACAACAACAGCATCCCTCCTCCAAAAAATATAGGGGGAAATTGTGGTATGCAAAGTTATAGGATTTCAACAGGAAGCTACAGGAAATGCCGATTAGAAAGGATGCAGCAGGCCAGCCCTGAAACATTTGCACTGTTATATATAATCCCATAGAACCAATCCAATACTGTCATGGCAAATCAAAATGCATGCACCATAAAAAAGATGATGTCTGGGAGCCCCTCACCCCAAGTGGTAAAGAGAGAACTACTCTGAGCACACTTAGAAATTCCAGACTGCCAACGTGAAATCCCCTTTAAAATCCCAGGGTAGTTTCTCCTTGATAACAGTGGTTGTTGTGTGACTGGGGAGTTGGTACACAAGATCACAAAGCACCAGCTCCTAATTACTAGTGCAATTGGCAGGTTTGCAAGCTTTAGTTAAGTACTCCCAACGATACAGTTCTACACATGTTTACCTGAGAGTAAAATCTGCTGAAGACTATGGGATTTGCTTCCATGTAAACATACATGAAGGGACATGGGTGGCATTGTGGTCTAAACCACTGAGCCTAGGGCTTGCCGATCAGAAGGTCGGCGGTTCGAATCCCCGTAATGGGGTGAGCTCCCGTTGCTCGGTCCCAGCTCCTGCCAAGCTAGGAGTTCAAAAGCACGTCAAAGTGCAAGTACAGTGGTACCTCGGGTTAAGTACTTAATTCGTTCCGGAGGTCCGTTCTTAACCTGAAACTGTTCTTAACCTGAAGCACCACTTTAGCTAATGGGGCCTCCGCTGCCGCCGCAGCATGATTTCTGTTCTCATCCTGAAGCAAAGTTTTTAACCTGAGGTACCATTTCTGGTTAGCGGAGTCTGTAACCTGAAGGTGTACCTGAAGCGTATGTATCCTGAGGTACCACTGTAGATAAATAGGTACCGCTCCGGCGGGAAGGTAAACGGCATTTCCGTGCACTGCTCTGGTTTTGCAGAAGCGGCTCAGTCATGCTGGCCACATGACCCGGAAAAACTGTTTGCGGACAAACGTCAGCTCCCTCAGCCAGTAAAGCAAGATGAGCGCCGCAACCCCAGAGTCGTTCACGACTGGACTTAACTGTCAGGGGTCCTTTACCCTTTTAAACATACATGGGCTCAGGCTAAACAGGGGCACCAGATTTGGGGGGCTGAGACAAGGTATGCAGAAGTCTTCTCTCCACCCCTAAGTCCTTTCTTAACCCACCCAAGGGCTACACTTGGTCAGCTGCCAGAGCAGCCTTTCCTCTGGGCCACCTACAGATCTTGAGACATATCAAGTAGCCCTGTGCTGGCAAGGTCAGCAACATTTTAGGGTAACTATAAATAGCAGCTCTAGAGCTGGCAGCCCAGGCCAGCAGAGTTTTAACTATTGCACCTCTCCATCATAGCAAGGTTCTTCACTCCTGCAAGAGTAAATCAGCTCAAATCCTTATTTGGCGGCGGTGGTGGTGGTGGTGGTGGGGGTTTGAAGGTCTCACCTAAACTGGAAAAAAAAGTTGTGGGCAACTGCTTTCCTAGAATAGTTTAGCAGGAAAATGTATAATTTTTGTTGTGGTCTGATAATGTTGCTTTTTAAGTTAGCCACTGAGTGTTTTGGGAGTTTATCCTTTTAATGTGTGATGTTTTAGTATGTTTTTATATATGTTGGAAGCCGCCCAGAGTGGCTGGTGCAACCTAGTCAGATATGTGGGGTTTTATTATTATTGCATCCTCCATGCACTGGTACTGTCTGCACAGAGGGAACTGGATTCAGAGGCCAAGACTCCAAAGAGCAGGGCTTTTTCTCAGCCAGAACTCGCAGGAACTCAGTTCCGGCACCTCTCAGGTGGGCACTGTTGCCAGTATAAGAGAAAAATAGCACTGTCAAAGAGAATATCTTTATAATATTTCGTCCTACCTTTCTACAGTGGTACCTCAGGTTAAGTACTTAATTCGTTCCGGAGGTCCGTTCTTAACCTGAAACTGTTCTTAACCTGAAGCACCACTTTAGCTAATGGGGCCTCCCACTGCTGCCGTGCTGCTGGAGCACGATTTCTGTTCTCATCCTGAAGCAAAGTTCTTAACCTGAGGTACTATTTCTGGGTTAGCGGAGTCTG